CGCTCATCCAGATGCAGCGCTCCTAGTGGCCGGGGACTTTAATGCAGGGAAACTTAAATCCGTTCTACCTAATTTCTACCAGCATGTTAAATGTGCAACCAGAGGGAAAAAAACTCTAGACCACCTTTACTCCACACACAGAGACGCATACAAAGCTCTCCCTCGCCCTCCATTTGGCAAATCTGACCATAACTCTATCCTCCTGATTCCTGCTTATAAGCAAAAACTAAAGCAGGAAGCACCAGTGACTCGGTTAATAAAAAAGTGGTCAGATGACGCAGATGCTAAGCTACAGGACTGTTTTGCTAGCACAGACTGGAACATGTTCCGGGATTCTTCAGACAGCATTGAGGAGTACACCACATCAGTCACTGGCTTCATCAATAAGTGCATCGATGATGTCGTCCCCACAGTGACCGTACGTACATACCCCAACCAGAAGCCATGGATTACAGGAAACATCCGCACTGAGCTAAAGGGTAGAGCTGCCGCTTTCAAGGAACGGGACTCTAACCCGGACGCTTATAAGAAATCCCGCTATGACCTCCGACGAACCATCAAACAGGCAAAGAGTCAATACAGGTCTAAGATTGAATCATACTACACTGGCTCTGACGCTCGTCGGATGTGGCAGGGCTTGAAAACTATTACAGAGTACAAAGGGAAGCACAGCCGCGAGCTGCCCAGTGACACAAGCCTACCAGACGAGCTAAACCACTTCTATGCTCGCTTCGAGGCAAGCAACATTGAAGCATGCATGAGAGCACCAGCTGTTCCGGATGACTATGTGATCACGCTCTCCGTAGCCGATGTGAGTAAGACTTTTAAGCAGGTCAACATTCACAAGGCCGCAGGGCCAGACGGATTACCAGGACGTGTACTCCGAGCATGTGCTGACCAACTGGCAAGTGTCTTCACTGACATTTTCAACATGTCCCTGACTGAGTCTGTAATACCAACATGTTTCAAGCAGACCACCATAGTCCCCGTGCCCAAGGACTCTAAGATAACCTGCCTAAATGACTACCGACCCGTAGCACTGACGTCTGTAGCCATGAAGTGCTTTGAAAGGCTGGTCATGGCTCACATCAACAGCATTATCCCAGAAACCCTAGACCCACTCCAATTTGCATACCGCCCCAACAGATCCACAGATGATGCAATCTCTATCGCACTCCACACTGCCCTTTCCCACCTGGACAAGAGGAACACCTACGTGAGAATGCTATTCATTGACTACAGCTCAGCATTCAACACCATAGTGCCCTCTAAGCTCATCACTAAGCTAAGGATCCTGGGACTAAACACCTCCCTCTGCAACTGGATCCTGGACTTCCTGACGGGCCGCCCCCAGGTGGTAAGGGTAGGTAACAACACATCTGCCACACTGATCCTCAACACGGGGGCCCCTCAGGGGTGCGTGCTCAGTCCCCTCCTGTACTCTCTGTTCACCCATGACTGCATGGCCAGGCACGACTCCAACATCATCATTAAGTTTGCCGACGACACAACAGTGGTAGGCCTGATCACCGACAACGATGAGACAGCCTATAGGGAGGAGGTCAGAGATCTGGCCGTGTGGTGCCAGGACAACAACCTCTCCCTCAACGTGACCAAGACAAAGGAGATGATTGTGGACTACAGGAAAAAAAATAGGACTGAGCACGCCCCCATTCTCATCGACGGGGCTGTAGTGGAACAGGTTGAGAGCTTCAAGTTCCTTGGTGTCCACATCACCAACGAACTATCATGGTCCAAACACACCAAGACAGTTGTGAAGAGGGCACGACAAAGCCTATTCCTCCTCAGGAGACTAAAAAGATTTGGCATGGGTCCTCAGATCCTCAAAAATTCTACAGCTGCACCATCGAGAGCATCCTGACTGGTTGCATCACCGCCTGGTATGGCAACTGCTTGGCCTCCGACCGCAAGGCACTACAGAGGGTAGTGCGTACGGCCCAGTACATCACTGGGGCAAAGCTTCCTGCCATCCAGGACCTCTATACCAGGCGGTGTCAGAGGAAGGCCCTCAAAATTGTCAAAGACTCCAGCCACCCTAGTCATAGACTGTTCTCTCTGCTACCGCACGGCAAGCGGTACCGGAGTGCCAAGCCTAGGTCCAAAAGACTTCTCAACAGCTTCTACCCCCAAGCCATAAGACTCCTGAACAGCTAATCATGGCTACCCTGACTATTTGCACTGCCCCCCCACCCCATCCTTTTTACGCTGCTGCTACTCTGTTAAGTATTTATGCATAGTCACTTTAACTCTACCCACATGTACATATTACCTCAACTACCTCAACTAGCCGGTGCCCCCGCACATTGACTCTGCAACGGTACCCCCCTGTATATATAGCCTCCCTACTGTCACTTTATTTTACTTCTGCTCTTTTTTTTCTCAACACTCTTTTTTGTTGTTGTTTTATTCGTACTTTTTTTGTTTAAAATAAATGCACTGTTGGTTAAGGGCTGTAAGTAAGCATTTCACTGTAATGTCTGCACCTGTTGTATTCGGCGCATGTGACCAATAAAATTTGATTTGATTTGATTTGATTTGATTATTCTGACATTTCACATTCTTAAAATAAAGTGGTGATCCTAACTGACCTAAAACAGGGAATTGTGAAAAACTGAGTTTAAATGTATTTGGCTAAGATGTATGTAAACCTCCGACTTCAACTGTAATACTGTCCAAATTATGTAATAATGTATATTTATTTTGCCTGATGAATAAGGGTTTGATATGTGTGTATATCAGGATTGGGGAGTAACTGATTACATGTAATCCACATTTTTATTGTATTTTTTATTACCAGTAATCAGTTACGTTACCAGCAAAAAATATTGTAATCATATTACAATTATTAGTTCTTTTAAATTCAGAAAGGATGTTTGCGAACAAATAGATTATAACACCTTTATTTTTTCTCAATGACCTTAAATTTAGCATTGAAAAAAGGCGCAACTTTGAGTTTGTTCCACCTTAGCCGGTCTAACCACAAGTCAGAGACCACTGCTATGATGACACACCAAATGTGTTTGACCATCCTTTTAGTATTTTTCTAATGCCTCTTAAAGGGAAATTAATCCAACAGTAACTGAAAGTAATACAATTACATTAGTGAATTTGGTTCATCCAAAAATTACATTACTGATTTTGGACAGACAACTAAATTAGTAGGTAACTTAACGGACTACATTTAGAAAGTAACCTATCAAACCCTGGTGTGTATGAAGTAGACAGCACATCTACAATTTAGTTTTACACCTGCATCTGTCCGATTAAACAGTGAGTAATCCGATTAAGATTTCCTCAAATGACAGCCAAAACATGACGTCACTCTTAGTTGCTGAAATCTCTGCGTGGCAGGTCTACAAACAGCTAATGGAAAAGGAATAAGAACCTCTAGAAGAATACGGAATAATGTCTGAACACGGCAATACAACTTTACGCACTGTGAAAGCAAAAATTTAGTCGGATTTGTTGTTTCGTGTTCTCGATTTGTAGGTGGTCTAGCCCAACTTTGTAAAATAGAAACGATTGGCGTGTGTCTATTCTCGCTTCAATCTGTATTTTGTGGGAGTGAGAGAGTTTGAAAGAAAGTAACGGATTTAAAGTAATGGATCAATCTGTCGCAATTCAAGAGACTTTGGCACAATACGAAAATTGCGTCATAGTATCCTTTATAGCGTGCACTAAATGTTTTTTTGTATCACTCGGATGTTACCAATGCATTATCTAAAGGCTGATGTTTTACTTTTTTTGGAAGAAGAACACAATGTTTCATTACGACGTAGCCTACGGGCAGTTCATCCAAGGCGAGGCCGTGGAGTTTTTGTCAAGGCCTAAAAGTCTAGACGTGTGTGTATCTGAATGTAGTGATATTTTATATATTTAATTCAATAGTACAATTAATTGGATTTGATAGGCTTTGAGTGTAAAAAGCAGAATGCAAGTTGCTCAATTAGGATATTGGTGGTGCTTTTCGACTGTAACACCAGTGTCACACTAGCATTCGCCCATATGTTATGGGGCGGCATGTAGCATAGTGGTTAAGATCGTTGTGCCAGTAATCGAAAGGTCGCTGGTTCTAATCCCTTTCGACTAGGTGAAAAATCTGTCGATGTGCCCTTGAGCAAGGCACTTAACCCTAATTGCTCCTGTAAGTCGCTCTGGATAAGAGCGTCTGCTAAATGACTAAAATGTAAATGTATGTTATACTAGAGACATTGTGTTTGCATAGCTAGTGCTGGCAGTGAGGCCTTGTGAAGAGCAGAATCAACAACTTCTGCATAAGGAGGTGTTAACGTTCACAGTTAGCCATTGTTATGTAAGTGGCCTGGCTTTGGCCCCAAGTTAGAGCAGGTCGGCTGGAGCCATGACCAATGAGACACGGGTGCGGGGCCTCATAGATGGGAACAGAAAAGTTTGATCCTTTTAGGTAAAACAATGGGGGAAATCCTGTATGGAAATGGGTGTGACATGTAGAGGCTACTGTCCAATTGTTGCAATATGATAGATCCTCCACTGGGTGGCAAATTTATACAAGCTTCTGTAGCGTACTGTAGGCCTACATATTTCCCAGACAGTTGATTTTTTATAGCAATGACTAGGCCTCTGCTCTTTGAAGGTACTTGGTGCATAACGTTTTTCCCAATACAAAAGCATTTAATTTAGATATCAAGATTAGCAAAATAGCATAGTAAGCCTACCAATATGTAGGCCTATTTTCAAATGTGACACTGTGCAAAAATCGATGCAATTCCCTTAACCAGTTTGTTGTAAACATGCTGTTCAATGTCTTGTCTTTGTGGACAATGTCACTGAAAGCAGACTATTGGGTTTGGTGGAGCGCACCAAGGAACATGCGTGAGTTTAATTTGATGCTATTCCACTAGACTTATGAAATATAAATGCTCTGAAAAATGCATTACACCTGCCCATAGTAATGTTCCACCTTTGTTTCCTATAGGCTGTTTGTTTTTACCCATAGAAGAATGGCGATAACTGGTGAAGATGTCACATTGGATGACATTTTACCCATCTCTAACGACTTTGCTGTTGTGGATGGTATGCAAAATCATGTTTAACTTAGGCTACCTATATCTATGCTTCACAATATTAATTATATTAAGTGGTTTTGGTCAATAGTTATTGATTGGTTTTAACTTGATTATTATAATATGCACAATGGAGGTGGAGGCATGGGCCTTATAATTCATTGTAATGATATGTTATTCTTTCCTCAGTGTCCTCGGCAGATGAAGTTTCTTTTGTGGGTGAGTTTTATTTTTTCCCTGGGTCAATTTCCTCCTGGTATGTTCATAGGGCCAAGTTATTAAATGTCTATTACATGATATTTCTATAGGTGCAGACACTAGAGTGAGGCTGAACTTCCAGGATGGGGAGCTGGAGGTGAGGCTCCCCTTTGGCTCCCACTCTCGCCTTTTCCTCAGTGAGGTCAACAGAGCCTGGAGTGGTAAGACTTGGCCTACTTCTCCATAAATGTATCACAAGTGTTGCATCCCAATTATTTCTCCTAAAGTGTACACCTGGTCACTACTTACCACAAATCTATAAGCATTGGATCGGTGGAGGCATAGGTAAGAAGGAGTTTCCACAATATTTCTTAAATCAGTAATTTCCTTTCACATCAGTGAGGGGAAGTGAACAAGTGCACACTTTGGAAGGAAGGATAGATAATTGAGAGAAGAGTCCCCTAAGCAAGCTGGTCCTGGGGCTCTGTTCACAAACACAAACAGACACCACAGAGTCCCAGGACAACAACACAATTAGACCCAACCAAATCATAAGAAAACAAAAAGAGAATTACTTGACACATTGGAAAGAATTAACAAAAAAACAGAGCAAGCTAGAATGCTATTTGGCCCTAAACAGAGTACACAGTGGCAGAATACCTGACCACTGTGACTGACCCAAACTTTAGTAAAGCTTTGACTATGTACAGACTCATTGAGCATAACCTTGCTATTGAGAAAGGCCGCCGTAGGCAGACCTGGCTCTCAAGAGAAGACGGGCTATGTGCACACTGCCCACAAAATGAGGTGGAAACTGAGCTGCACTTCCTAACCTCCTGCCAAATGTATGACCATTTTAGAGACACATATTTCCCTCAGATTACACAGATCCACAAAGAATTTGAAAACAAACCCAATTTTGATAAATTCCCTTATCTACTGGGTGAAATATGACAGTGTGCCATCACAGCAGCAAGATTTGTGACCTGTTGCCACAAGAAAAGGGCAACCAGTGAAGAACAAACAATGTAAATACGACCCATATTTATGTTTATTTATTTTCCCATTTGCACTTTAACTATTTGCACATTGTTACAACACTGTATATAGACATAATATGACATTTGAAATGTCTTTATCTTTTGGAACTTCTGAGTGTAATGTTTACTGTTAATTTTTATTGTTTAATTCACTTTTGTTTACTATCTACTTCACTTGCTTTGGCAATGTTAACAAACGTTTCCCATGCCAATAAAGCCCTTAAATTGAATTGAATTGTGAGAGAGAGAGAGAGAGAGAGAGAGAGAGAGAGAGAGAGGAGAGGAGAGAGAGAGAGAGAGAAGGAGGAGGAGGAGAGAGAGAGAGAGGAGAGAGAGAGAGAGTGAGAGAGAGAGAGAGAGAGATGGCATCAGAGAAAGAGCGAGAGAGTGAAAGAAGGAAAAGAGACTGGGGAGGGACATAGTTTTAGTGTCATGTGCTCTTCCTGAGTAGTATATGTCTGTTGCTTCACTAAGCATTTGTAACTATGTGAGTGTAGAATAAATATAATATTTCCTTCCCATTGAATTATATATTTGAATTCGGCTTTTACGTGTTTTTTTTCCTGCTCATCTCAATCGGGACAGAGTCTACTTTGCTATGGATGAGTCATTTTTGGCATTAGCTCACTACTTTACACAATGGAGCTCTTACATCTAAGATAGAGGACTAAAGCGTTGTTTTAAAAAGGGCCACACTCACTTTTACTCTGTGAGAGGAAACAGTGATGGAAAGTTTTGCTAACCTGGCAGCAATTGTTGTGAACAGGAAGAATGTGAGAAACTCACAAGGTGAGCAGAAAAGTTACATCTTTGTACAAGTGTGTGGTCTTATTGAAAGTACAATAGCAGCATGAGTGATTTTGGTGTGGTAATATTCTCAGGGTAGCTCAAATGTACGTGTAAGAGGAAGTGTGTGTGTGTGTGTGTGTGTGTGTGTGTGTGAACCACATGAAACAGGGAACATAACTGAATACCTTTTTCAGCCACACAGCAACAAAAGATTTTGATTCAACATACAATTGTAAGGCAAACAACTCGTGAGAACGTGAAGTAACCTGCCCCTGAATCACTTTCTACTTTGAGTACCTATTTGAACGAAGCAAATGTTGTGGGTCATTTTCAGTTGACTGTATTATTGATAATTATCCTCAGTGTGTGTTCTGTGAATCACTGCTGAGGATTTCTTGGAATTGTTTCCTTATCATTGATGCTCTTCTAGTTTCTCCACTTCTGTGGAGCAATGGAGCAACACATGTAAACCATTTGAATAACAAAGTGTGTTTATATACAAATGAAATGGCATATTTTGGGATTTGTGTAAGTGCCTTTTTCATGGTTCCCTTTATCCTCCTTCAGATGTTTGCAAGTCTCCCAAGGAAGCGCCAAAGTTTGAGTGGCTCCACAAGTACCGCAAAGCCTCCAAAGGTCAAGGTGGCGTCAAACAGACCCTTGCACCCTTGGGAACGACACACACCAAGATCAGCCAGCATAAGAAAACAAGTAAGCCAGCAGTCCTCTTCGTGTCCCTCTCAGTCAGTACCCTCCCTGAACTTATACCCTTATCACACAGAGCCCTTTGTGTGGTAATATCTAGCAAGTTTGTGTTGCTGTCAGCCGAATGAAATTGCAGGCAACACTAAGAAAGCACAGGATTGATAATTAACCACGATTCTTGGATCATGATAACTGTATCTGAGGTGCCCTCCAAAGTAACATCACAAAGCTCTGTCATTCCTTATGGTTGTGTGACATGTCTGTTGTTGATGTTAGTTGGTCTTATTAAACTTTGGGGAGAGTGACAACATTATCTTCCATGTTGGCTTTAAATCTAGAAGACTATTTCACAATGGATCTATCTTCATACTGTGAGCAAACTATCTCACTGGTGTGTCTGTCAGTGACAACAAATGTTACAGGAAGCTATTTGCTCTGGCACTCCCATTGATACGCAAAGTGCCCAAACCTGTACATCTAGATGCTATTTGCAATGTTTATTTCGTTGTTGTTGTTGTTGTTGTTGTTGTTGTTGTTATATCTCGTTAGATTTTCTCCTGCCACTGAAATATCATTTTCATTATTTCATGCAAGGCCTACCCATATGCAATTTCTTTATGCATGTAACTAATTTCACATTAGTAAAAATATAAAAAAGTTTACATGGGAATAATTGTAAGACTACATTTGGCCGACATAAACGCTTTATAGTTGTGTGAAACTTTTTACTGAAGCTTTATTTAATTTGCCACTTACCAGAGACCGTCCAATGGTTGATTAGTTTGGTCTGTGGCACTGTCGTCACTTGCGGGAGTGCGCGTGAAAGAATGTATTCTCAACATTCCTTGCACGAACAGGTCCTTGGACGTTGCACTGCACATAATGCGTGGAAGCACTACTGAGAGATGTCTAGAGTGATTAAAGACACTGGTATGGGGAAATGTTTATGATTTTCTGTTGTATTTAGATGGTCTATTTGCTAGCGCAGTCTGAAACTTAAGTAACTTTTTTCTATGCAGCAGTATTTGTTCACATTAGCTAGCTTAGCTAAGAAGCGAACTTCTGCTAGTTTTTGTTACTAGCTCTACTTTCTGCTTGCTAGCTAAATATAGACCATTTACTTGTCCTTCCTAGATTCAAGCTAAAACGTTGACAAAATGATATGTAGCTAGCTATCTAGCCAGCTTATTAGTTGAAGTAACTATATACTTTATTGCATATTTTGAGCAGAGTTGTGGTTTGGAACGAGCGCGCTAGCTAGGTAATTAGCTAACTAGCCATGTTTATCATGTCAATATTATGGCTTTGTAAAGGTTCGCCATCTATATTTGTAAGCTAACTAAGCTAGGCCATATGCTGTAGGTTTGCGACAGTATATCTGTCATTGTGTCCTGATTTGGGTCTGGTAATGCACCATGCAAACCTAACGTTCAGCAACTTTGGGATTTTCACTCATAGCTAGCTAGGTGTTTTAGCTATCTCAGTATATGTCAACTGAACGTGTAAAGCTAGACAGGCAATTAGTAGCCTCTTGGACATTTTCTATTAGAAATGGATGCACACTGTAGTTTGTGATTGTCTTGGGTTCTCTTTATTTTTGTATCTTGGAAAGTGTCCATACTAGTAGACTGCAGATAAGAACGTATATGTCTCTGCCCATTTTATTACTCCTAAATACAAAGGGTTATTTTATGCAATGCTGAACTTTGTGATGAGAACTGACTTTTGTGCCCCCACACTGTAGTATGCTACAGCTGACTCACACTTTGGTTGACTCACACTTTTCCGTATTGAACCAAGACAGGGCAGCCTTTCATGTTTCTGTATTTTTAGACTGCAATTAGTGATGTTTGCAAGACTGAATGGTGTTTAATAATGTTTACATATCTTGCACTACTCATCTCATATGTATATACTGCATTTTATTCTATAATATTCTACTGTATGTTAGTCCATGCCTATTTTCTTAAATTCCATTCCTTACTAGTTTTGTGTGTATTAGGTATATGTTGTGAAATTGTTAGATATTACTTGTTAGATATAATATAATAATAATAATATGCCATTTAGCAGACGCTTTTATCCAAAGCGACTTAGTCATATTACTGCACTGTCGGAGCTAGAAGCACAAGCATTTCGCTACACCCGCTATAACATCTGCTAAACCTCCCGACTGGCGCAGTGGCCGCGCCCCATGGGTCTCCCGGCCGCGACCGGGAGACCCATGGGGCGGCGCACAATTGGCCCAGCGTCGTCCAGGGTAGGGGAGGGAATGGCCGGCAGGGATGTAGCTCAGTTGGTAGAGCATGGCGTTTGCAATGCCAGGGTTGTGGGTTCGTTTCCCACGGGGGCCAGTATGAAAAAAAAAAAGAATGGATGGATGCATTCACTAACTGTAAATCGCTCTGGATAAGAGCGTCTGCTAAATGACTTAAATGTAAACACGTGTATGTGACAAAAGAGGAGCTTGCTGTACAGAATGGATAGTGGAGGCATGCTGTCAATAGTTCCAACCATTGGATTGGTCTCTCCACTTACATTTTTGTATCATGATTCATGTGTGGTATATGTATGCAGAAGTCTGAAAGCTATCCATTCAATTCTCATAGGGTTTGATCATTACATTTTACATTTTAGTCATTTAGCAGATGCTCTTATCCAGAGCGACTTACAGTTACTGAGTACATGCACTGTAACTTTGCAATTACAGTGGATTGTTTGTTGGTGTAGTATTTAACAGGTTTAAAGAGCCATACCATGACCGCAGGAATGTAAAACATGTAGCGCATTACCATAAGTGCTGCTAATAAGACACTTTATAGGCTAGCCCACCTTCCCTTCTCTGTGGACAGAAGGAGGGTAAAATGCAGTAAATCATTGTTCTGAAATAGGCCAATGTAGGCCTAGATGTTTACTTTCAAAATTAGGTTAGGTCAGGGACTGGGAAGCTCCCTTGGGAGTTGGGATCTTGTAGTGTATTATTTAGGACTTAGGTGAAATGCAGTAAGTAATCCTTCGGAAATAGCTGAGATCCAATGTAGTCCTAGGTCTACATGTTGACTTTCAACATGAGCCTGGCTTGGGGACTGGGAAGCTCCCTAGGGAGTTGGGAACTAGGGATCTTCTGCGTTGGGGCTTACTCCTCCTCCTCCACATTGGCCTCTCACAGCTCTCTGGGAGTTTCCATCTGATCTCACAGGGCCCAGTTTGTTTCCATTTCCTGTGTTCCAATAGCACGCGCGCACACACACACACACACACACACAACACACACAATCGTACTCCCATCAGAATCCAATGGAAATTTGTGCCGCAGCCCCACTACACTGTAATGATACTGCCATTTTGTTTACTCAAAATAGCACACTGGTCCTCCCAATGCCCCTGTTTTGTACACCTGTATGCCTAAAGACAGCATACAATAGCCTAGACTTCACCCTCTCAATCTTGGTTAGCCTTTAAAACAATATATTCCATTCTTTATGCAGGCTTTATCAGGAATTGTATCTGTGGTGAACTATTATACATTTTTTTTGGTAGCTGTAGCCTCTGATTTATATACGATTTCATTGTACGTCATTGCACTACAGAACATTGAGTTCTTACTCTGGTATTGTTTTGCAATCACTTTCCATAAACAATAGATACAGCTAACATTTACCTTGAAGGTCTTGTGAGAGTGTATAGTATGCAAGGAATTACCCCGAGATGGTAAGAACTTGTGTGTGATGTGATTAGAAGTAGGCTTTGCTAAAGGATGAGCCTACGTTTACGTTGCATTATCTTATGATCTGTTTGTGCTATCATTTCAACTCCAGTTCATGCCAATGAGTGTGACAAGGAGTTGACATGATGATAGACTGGTCCCAGATCAGTTTTTGCTATCTTGGACAACAAATCTCAAAAGCTTGTAGGCCTATTGCATGAAAACATGTTGGCTATTTTCTTGCTCAGCAGCTTGTATTGAGTTGATTCCTTGGGCAGCAGATAAAAAAATAAAAATTTCACTCTAAAACAGAAGGCAATAAATGATGAACTCTCACAATGAGATACAGCTATATAAGACGGTTGGTAGTTAAACGAAATAACGATACTTCCTCTAAAGCAATTTCCTCTTTAATGCACTTGCCGTGTTCATAGTTTCTTCTGCCAAGCAGTAGGAGACGATGGCCATATTGTCTTAGACTGAGGCTTTGACTCTTCCATTGATTTAAACAACTTAAAATGCTATGTCTTGTCTAGGGTATCTTGCAATAGAGATTTTATGTCAATCAGATTAACCTGGATAAAGGTTAGGCCTGAACAAAAATATAAACGCAACATGCAACAATTTGAAAGATTTTACTGAGTTACAGTTCATATAAGGAAATCAGTCAATTGAAATAAATTCATTAGGCATTAGGCCCTAATCTATGGATTTCACATGACTGGGAATACAGATATGCATCTGTTTGGCCACATATACAGTGCCTTTGGAAAGTATTCAGACCCGTTGACTTTTTACACATTTTGTTAGGTTACAGCCTTATTCTAAAATTGATTAAATTGCTTTTTTCCCCTCATCAATCTACACACAATACCCCATAATGACAAAGCAAAAACAGGTTTAGAAATTATTGCTAATTTATTCAAAATAAAAACTAAAATATCTCATTTACATAAGTATTCAGACCATTTACTCAGTACTTTGTTGAAGCACCTTTGGCAGCGATTACAGCCTCAAGTCTTCTTGGTGACGTGACTTTCATTAATATGATGACTGTTATTTATCGAATTAACTAACTGTTTAATTGTTACTCAATTAAATTAATAATGTAACAATTAACTCATTAGGATTTGATGGCCCCGCCGCGGAATAAGTTGTTTATAGAGTTAACATCTCCCAAATTAAACTCTAAAAGGTCTTTACCTATCAATATGTATAAAACAGTCAACGTATCAATCATTACCTCTTATCAGTCGTCATTCTGAATGGTCGCAGAATTCTTGGATCCGCAAGAACCCCAGCTTTTACTTATGATTCAGCACTACACAAATTGTCTTTCATTATTTATTTACTAGCTAACTAAATAATAACACAGAATACATACATTCTTAATACATGAGAAAAAGTCCCTAGTGGACTAACAGCATGACTGCTTGGTTATCAAAAGAGGGTGGGGTAAGGAAGAGAGGGAGAGACAAAGAGAGAGTCAAACTTATCGTTGATACATTTGGAAGCTACCCTCAGTAATCATAATACTACCAGAAAGCGTGGAGACGGTAGTCCATTTGAAACGTGAGGACTACCGTCTCCATGCTTTCTGGTCTAACCATTTAAAGCTGTGTAGCCACAGCTCCACACTTTCTGGTCTAGTGTAAATTTCATTACCAAGGCTTTTTATACACACTGGTAAAAGGGACGTTCCTACTTGCTGACACGGTCTCTGAGCTCACTTGGGGCGTGTCTAGTCACCTTGCATAGCTTATATGAAAACCTATGATCTCATTAGAAAACTAAAATCACATTGCTATCTTAACAAAAATACTCTCGTAATTCTCCATATTATATACACAACATATTGGATGTAAACTTGACAGATAGTGTGTATAGTTTCCAAATTACAGTATTTTCGTTAAGATTTTTAATGACATCACAAAATAATAAACAATATGACATGATTAGTCTTTAGATCCCCACTGACTATTCCAAACATTCGGACGTTAGGAGTATTGTTTACTTTTTTGGACGTAAAAGTTTTGGCGGCAAAAGTCTTCTGGAGACAAAGCACATTCCTTTCACCATACTAGAGGGCAAGAGAGAGATTCTCCTCCTCTCTAATTTATGGCAGTGTGTTAAGGTGTCAACTCTTCTGTGGGTGAGAGGGTCTGGTTGTTGTCAGCCATTTGCCAAGCTGATCTGAGGCCTTTGATCCTCACCCAGGAGAGTCATGAAATTGGGTATATCGCTACAAGCTTGGCACACCTGTATTTGAGGAGTTTCTCCCATTCTTCTCTCAGATCGTCTCAAGCTCTGTCAGGTTGGATGGGGAGCGTTGCTGCACAGCTATTTTCAGGTCTCTCCAGAGCCGTTAGATCGGGTTCAAGTCCGGGCTCTGGCTGGGCCATTCAAGGACATTCAGAGACTTGTCCCGAAGCCACTCCTGCGCTGTCTTGGCTGTGTGCTTAGGGTCGTTGTTCTGTTGGAAGGCGAACCTTCACCCCAGTCTGAGGTCCGGAGCACTCTGGAGCAGGTTTTCATCAAGGAGCTCTCTGTACTTTGCTCTGTTCATCTTTCCCTCAATCTTGACTAGTTTGCCAGTCCCTGCCGCTGAAAATATCCCCACAGCATGATGCTGCCACCACCATGCTTCACCGTAGGGATGGTGCCAGGTTTCCTCCAGACGTGACGCTTAGCATTCAGGCCAAAGAGTTCAATCTTGGTTTCATCAGACCAGAGAATCTTGTTTCTCATGGTGTGAGTCTTTAGGTGCCTATTGGCAAACTCCAAGCGGGCTGTCATGTGCCTTTTTACTGAGGAGTGGCACATTCCTTCCGGCCACTCTACCATAAAGGCCTGATTTAGTGGAGTGCTGCAGAGATGGTTGTCCTTCTGGAAGGTTCTCCCATCTCTACAGAGGAACTCTACAGCTCTGTTAGAGTGACCATCGGGTTCTTGGTCACCTCCCTGACTAAGGCCCTTCTCCCCTGATTGCTCAGTTTGGCTGGGCGGCCAGGTCTAGGAAGAGTATTGGTGGTTCCAAACTTCTTCCATTTAAAAATGATGGCGGCCACTGTGTTCTTTGGGACCTTCAATGCTGCAGAAATGTTTTGGTACCCTTCCCCAGATCTGTGCCACGATATAATCCTGTCTCGGAGCTCTAAGGACAATTATTTTCGACCGCATGGCTTGGTTTTTGCTCTGACATACACTGTCAACTGTGAGACCTTATATAGACAGGTGTGTGCCTTTCCAAATCATTTCCAATCAATTGAATTTATCACAGGTGGACTCCAATCAAGTTGTAGAAACATCTCAAGGTTGATCAATGTAAACAGAATGCACCTGAGCTCAATTTCGAGTCTCATAGCAAAGGGTCTGAATACTTATGTAAATAATGTATTTCTGTTTTTTTATTTTTGATAAATTAGCAACAATTTCTAACAACCTGTTTTCATTTTGTCATTATGGGGTATTGTGTGTAGATTGCTGAGGATTTGTATTTATTTAATCCATTTTAGAATAAGGCTGTAACGTAACAAAATGTGGAAAAGGTCTTAATACTTTCCGAAGGCACTGTACCTAAAAAAATTAAATAAAAAGGTAGGGGCGTGGATCAGAAAACCAGTCCGTATCTGGTGTGACGACCATTTGCCTCATGCAGCGCGACACAGCTCCTTCGCATAGAGTTTATCAGGGTGTTAATTGTGGCCTGTAGAATGTTGTCCCACTCCTCTTCAATGAAATAAGCTTTTTGTGCGTATGGAACATTTCTGGGATCATTTATTTCAGCTCATGAAACATGGGACCAACACTTTACATGTTGCATTTATATTTTTGTTCAGTATAGAATATAATAAAATGCTATATCTAATGCAATGCTTTTGAAGACTGCCTCAGTCCATTTTCCATACATCTGAGTAAGCAAGGACCAAATCGACTTCACTATTGACTTGTTTGGTGTCTATTTCAGGCATGAGCTGATTGATTATTCACAGGCGAAGCGTTTGCAATGCTAGCTCCAGGGGCCTTATAGGATTAGCGTTGGCACATGGCAATGTATTTACCTTATTAGAATGACTTGGTTTACAACTGCCGCTCTCTCTCTCTCTTTATCTTGTTTGCGCTCTTTCCCTCGCTCTCTTTTGTTGCCTTTCTTTCTCTTTTGTATCTCTTTCAACTCTCTCCCTCTTTCAACTCTCTTTCAACTCCTCTCTCTCGCTCCCCCCCCAAACAGGGAACTCATTGAACGCAGTGAGCAGATCCCCAGTCGAAGGGGATAAGAGGGTGGAGCAGCCCAGAGTGGAGTCCAGCCCAGAGAGGTAAGAACTGAACACCACTCTCCTCTCTCTGACAGTGGTATGCAAATGGATTGGTACTTGAAGAAGGGGAAAAGGACCAGTGTGCCAAATTGGATTTCTCCCCTAACCCCTGTCCTGTATTGAGGACATTGAAATGTAGCCACACTGCAGAGCTACAGAGTCTGTTACCTCTATGCCTTTACTGCATGTGTTGCCTACATTAGGCCCCCCTTGACTCTATTACTAAATCCCTGTATAATGTCTCTCACAACATTAGCTTCCAGCCAGGCTAAAGAACATGACTTAAGAAAAAAACACACCCACAACACAAACTATCTTGGACATTAAATAATGATAGCCTAACTGTATCTCTGGATAAGAAAGAACTTGATGCCAAGTGCAAACACACTCTTGTGATACCTTTAGTTGGTTTAGTCTGAAACGAGATATGTAGTGTTAGTAGATGTCATACTAATACAGTAGGAAAGGAGTGTAACTACATTTCTATTTTTGGTCTGAGTCTGACACTCCTGTCCCTCCACCCCGACCGTCTTATATTGACATTTTGTCATTTAGCATACGTTCTTATCTAGAGCGACCTACCATCAGTGCATTCAACTAAGGTAGCTAAAACCTTCCATCTTGTGGGCCCTGCAGCCAAGGGAAAGTGAAGCGTGAGGGCTGGAATGAGTTGAAGCGTGAGGGCAGGGATGACCTGGTACGCCACTCCAGCCACACAGCTTCCAACAAAGCCACAATGCTGGCAATGCCGCAGTTTGGCCTGCGCGACAACCTCATCCGCTGTGAGCTGCTCAAGAACGAGGACATCTACACCTACCTGGAGAATTTCAGGTAACCCCCTGCCTCTGTCCCTATCAAAGTCACTGTAGCATGTATTCTTATACCCTTTTCATGTTGCCAAGCTGTGCTGAGCTATACTGTGCTGGACTGGTTAGGCGTCCACCATTACTGGAACAGTGACTAGCCCGCTACTCTATTGCCTGATTCACACTAAGGCCAAGCCAACCTGTACTGCGCTGGTCTGGTTACACATCCAGTTGCTGGAAAGGAAAATGTTAAAATAAATATCCCAGCTACCACAGTTTGCCTGGGTTGGCACAATAGTGGCTTATTGCTTTTATAAACTGGTTACCAACTTAATTAGAGCAGTAAAAAGAAATGTTTTGTCATACCTGTCGTATACGGTCTGATATATCATGACTGTCAGCCAATCAGCATTCAGGGCTCGAACCACCCAGTTTGTATTTGTAGCTATCCAACTTCTACTATGCAAACCAACATCGATGACTCATCACAATTATCAAGATCAACAGTCATACCGCAAGCTACAGGGTTGACACATTTAGCAGTAAACAGGATGTCAGTGTAGAGTTGTGAAAACGCATCTCATAACTAGAACTGACAAAGTAAAGAATTGTCAATTTCCATGTAATGTTGAAGGAAATGGTTGCTCTTGAATTACTACTATCCAAACTCAAAGTAATTCATTTCTAATGCAGGTTTTAAGCAAAAAGGTTTTACAAATGTCATTGTGATAACAAGCTTTGGTAATGTCCCAATAATCTCTCCACCCAAAGTGTGCACTTGTACAATTCCCTTCACGAACTTGAAAGTAAATGACTGGTATATGGAAACTCCTTCTAGCCCATGTCTACACCAATCCAATGCTTTTACATTTGTGGGGAGTAGTGAACAAGTACACATTTCAGGAGGAAGAAGAGATTATTGGTACGCAGGATGTTTGTACAGATGCCACGATAACAAGTACAGAAAAGTACAGAACATGGGCCGTGTCATGATGACAAGTGATTCATATACTACACTGCCCTCTGGTGGTGGACACACACACAGCTCTGTGAAGTGTTTAGGTTCTTGCTGCCCATCGCACCATCTGAAGGGGCTTGCTAAGGTCATGTCTTTGCCAGACACCCTCACAGTTCACCAGTTACGCCTATATTAGGCAGTGTTAGGCTTTGCTCCTGCTCTCTGACTTTGTACTTACCACTCTCTCTCTGTCGCTCTCTCTCCCTATCTCTCTGTCGCTCTCTCTCTCTCCATCTCTCAGTTTCTTCCTAGGCACTTACAATGTGAACGGCCAAACCCCCAAAGAAACCCTCCGTCCCTGGCTGGGCTCCACATCCACTCCCCCTGACATGTACTGCGTGGGGTAAGTCCCATCCCATCCACCCAGGCATTACAAATCAATTCCCCTCTAAATCCATAGCCCACATAGACACTGACTATACCGTCTGAGACCCCACTACAAGAGGATGAATTAAGTCATAGATTGTGTGTTGAGTGGTAGGACTGTCTTAGTTGCTACAGCAGCAACAGAGCCAATTCAGCCAAACCTCTGTGCACGACTAGTCTTGTGGTGGTGCAGATTTTTTTTTAAATCTCTAATCTGCGAATTAGGAACTTTAACACAAGGTTTTCAACCGTAGAAGAGACAGTCAGTTGAGAAGAGAGGAGTTATGCTCTCCTGGGTCATGTTTATCAGGGCACACTGTCGCAAAATGTTTTGCAACGGAAAACAAAACTGAGCATAAATTGGTTACCTTTGGCTAGTACCTCCCCCTTTTCTTCCGTTCCGTGCCTACTGAACATGACCCTGTGTTGCAGGTTCCAGGAGCTCGACCTGAGCAAGGAGGCCTTCTTCTTCAACGACACGCCCAAGGAGACCGAGTGGATGAAGGCTGTGTCTGAGGGGCTGCATCCAGACGCCAAGTACGCCTTAGTAAGAACCTCCTTCTCCTTCAGTTAACCACTGACCACTTGTTATGCCCAGTCTCGCTACTGCCACAAGGTTGTGTGTCCTAATACTAATGTAAAAATGGCTAGCTGGAGCCGGCTGTAGATCCCCTCACCCACTAGTGACTTAATGCTGACTCTACTTTAGTCTGACCCACTACAGGCGGTCTGGCAAGAACCAGGCAGATGTGTCCATATCCAGAGTTGTATTCTTTAGTTCACTACCACACACAAATTATCTTGTGGTTCTATGAAAGAAAGGAAATTAACAACTGGTAATGCAGCTATACAATCAGGTCTGTACATAGCATAGATAACATAGCATTACACACATAGTAACACAGTAGGCCTACTACAGATGCATATCAGTGGCGAGAGGGGCTAATCACTGATGAGGCTAGCTGACAGTCAGGATTTATGGCGCTGTCTCTCCAACCAGCTAGAGATCTTATTTACATTTACATTTTAGTCATTTAGCAGACGCTCTTATCCAGAGCGACTTACAGTTAGTGAGTGCATACATTTTCATACTGGCCCCCCGTGGGAACCGAACCCACAACCCTGACGTTGCAAGCGCCATGCTCTACCAACTGAGCTACACGGGGCCCCTCCTAAAATCAGATAAGATTTGCTTACTTACTAGGCCAAAGCCATAAATCAAGTGCACATGCTCGAGTGCACCAGGCTTTCTAGAATCTTCCACAACTTATTTTAGCTTGAATATAACACACTCTCTTGCAGTAGTTGAAACATGCACTTAATACTCGTGATAATAGCTACAAACATACAATAGTTACAGTGGCTGGCAGTTCTGTAATTAGACAACATGCATGAGGTAAACAGGTAAACAATGCTACCAGCTGGCGACAGAACAAATGTACATAAGTAACAAGATAATCGACTCTAGCAAGTTGTCGGTAGCATGCATTAATCATCATAAACAATCCCCGACAATATAAGGGCCCAACTTTCATTGTGGATGCACGCACAAACACTTCTAGAAAGCACACTGAAAACTTGTTCCCCAGCCAAACTTTGCTTCCATATCGGCTGAAGATGATAACCACTCTGAGCTAGAGTGGGAGGGGTCCATTCGGATTCAAATGTCCATTTGGGCACACTGATTGGCTGAAACCAAGAGGCTGTGATAAACTGCTGAGAAGGGGAGAAATCACCCTAATGGGTCTGTGGGAAAAGTTACATGCATGTTTCTTTTTTTACAACTAAGGCCCTGTTTGAATACTCCAAAAACGCATCCCTCCTTCCTTCCTTCCTTAAAATAAAACAATCACAGATGTGGGAGGGTTGGATTGTTAAAAGAGTTGGGTGCTAATTTTTCTTTCACTTATCCGAGCACATGCATGGCAGTGATTACCTCAAGTCAGTGAGGAAGGAAGGATGCATGTAGTCACAGTTGGTACAATTGAGTGTCGCTGTACTACAGATGTTTCCAAAGCAAAGTGGTATGATGTTGTAATGACTTATTTGCTTCCCTTTAAAGTGTGGTTTTGTAAACCTGGTGAAAGCTTGTACATGAGCTTCTTTCTTATTCTGATCTTCTTTTTATCAAGGCCTATTTCCCCTTTTTATAAATTGCCTACTCAAGCCAAACTGCTTCTTCCTCTTTTAACAGCTCGTAAAGATTTTCTCCCTCAACCACCCAGTATGATGACTTGTCATTTGTCAGTCCTCTGTCGCTGGTGTGAATTTAGCACACTTGGTTGCTTCATAATTGACATAGCATAGGGAAAGAGTCTGTGAAATGGCTGGTTTCACATTAATATGGAAATGTTGTGTTATATCCTACTTAGGTTTGTAGCCTTGACAGGATTAAATGTGGAACAATCTGACTGTTAGCAATTTAGCATTTTTGCTCCTGCAGTATTGACATAAACCAGGGGTGTCAAACTCATTTTAGCTCAGGGGCCACATGGAGGAAAATCTATTCCCAAGTGGGCCGGACCGGAAAAATCATGGTGTGTATATATAACTTAAAAACAACAACTTCAGATTGTTTTCTTTGTTTTAATACGATCAGCATACAACATAAAGCTGGAGCCTGAGGACAGTGTGTCCAAAATAGTACAAGCACAACATCACTATTAATCATAAAACAGGTCAAGTTTATTTGAAAATTCTAAAGAAAAAGAACACACAAACACACAATGCCTCAGTGATTAACAGAACTGTTTCACAGATCACAGAACTATATCAGGGTGTCATTTCTCAGGCAGAAATGTAGATACAAATAATGACATCCTGTTCCCCAAACAAGTGCAAGAACCACAGAGTCAAGAATAGGTTAAATATACAAATACAATAAAATCAATTAAAAACAATAGCACATCAACATAAAAACATATAAACATAAAGCTGGAGCCTGAGGACAGTGTCCAAAAGCACAACATCACTATTAATCATAAAACACCTCAAGTTATTTGAAAGTTCTGAGGACAAAGAACACACAAACACACAATGCCTCAGTGATTCACAGAAGTATATCACAGATCACAGAACTATATCAGGGTGTCATTTCTCAGGCAGAAATGTAGATACAAATAATGAAATCCTGTTCCCCAAACAAGTGCAAGAACCACAGAGTCAAGAATAGGTTAAATATACAAATAAAATAAAATCAATTAAAAACAATAGCACATCAACATAAAAACATATAAACATAAATCTGAAAGCGTTGCTCAAACTCCCGTAACAGTCCCGTTATTTTATCTTTGAACCGCTTCATGTCTGCCACATGTTGGGTCGTGCACACATTTTTCAGACAGGGGAAGTGAGCTGCATCACCACCGGCAAGTTGCGTCTCCCACAATGACAGCTTCAACTTGAAAGAACGTATGCTGTCATAATACTGCGTGACAACTTTGTTGCGCCCTTGCAGCTGTTTGTTCAAGTTATTCAGGTGCTCTGTAACATCCACCATAAATGCAAGGTCCGGCAGGCATCCATTCTGCGGAATGAAATTCTAACACTGGTTTGCCCTTTTCTTCCATGAACTGTTCAATTTCTTCTCGTAAATCAAAGAAACGCCTCAGCACAGCACCTCGGCTTAACCATCTTACCTCAGTGTGGTATGGCAGGCCATAGATGTGGTCTTTCTCTCTGAGAAGGCTGTCAAACTGACGGTGATTCAGGCTTCTGGATCGGATGAAATTAACAGTTTGGATGACCACCTTCATGACGTTATCCATCTTTAATGACTTGCAACACAAAGCCTCCTGGTGCAAAATACAGTGAAAAGTCAAAAAATCACGTCCTCCATTTGCAGATTGCACTTTCTCTCTGAACTTTGTCACAACGCCTGCTTTTTTCCCGATCATTGAGGGCGCACCATCTGTAGCCAGGCTGACAGCGCGGGACCAGTCCACTCCGACCCTGTCCAGCGCGCCGACGAGTGCGGTAAAAATATCAGCTGCTGTCGTTGTATCTGTCATCGGCACCAACTCCACGAACTCCTCAGTGACGGTCAATGTGTCATCAACTCCGCGGGTGAAAAAATGGCCAGTTGTGCAACATCTGTAATGTCCGTGCTTTCATCAATTGCAACCGAAAACGCAATAAATGACTTTACTTTTTGCTTCAACTGGCTGTCCAAATCCATTGAAAGATCGGAAATCCTGTCTGCAACTGTGTTTCTTGTCAGGCTGATATTTGCAAAAGCCTGCCGCTTTTCAGGGCACACAATCTCCGCTGCCTTCATCATGCATGTTTTTACAAATTCACCCTCACTAAATGGTTTTGAAGCCACTGCGATTTCATTAGCAATGAGGTAGCTAGCTTTCACTGCAGCGTCACTGATGTCTCGGCTGTGAGTAAACACAGACTGCTGTTTCTTCAGACCCGCCAACAGTTCATTCACCTTCTCTCATCTCCGCTGTCCTTGAAAGTTGTCATATTTGTCGGCATGAAGACTCACATAGTGGCGACGACGGTTATATACTTTCAGCACTGCAACATGCTCTGAACACACCAAACATACAGCTTTCCCATTCAATTCCGTGATTAAATAGGATGACCATTTTTCATGGAACACTCTGCACTCTGCGTCCACTTTTCTCTTTTTTGACAGAGACATATTGGGGCAATGAGGGTGCCAAAGCACATAATGTTAAAAGTAGAAGCCGTAATAAATATCGCGGGCAAAACAAAGTAGCTCATTGGCTGCACGTGCTTGACCTACTTGGTCTGCCCCGGTATAAACAGTTTGCTTGCTTAACACAATTGCTATTGCGCCATCCAGTGGACGCAATTGGAACAGCAGTTTATTTTATTGAAAAATTGCAGCGCATTTTTATACTTTACAATTATTATATATTTTTTTATCATCTCGCGGGCCGGATTAAACCCGTTTGCGGGCCTAATCCGGCCCGCAGGCCGTACGTTTGACACCCCTGACATAAACAATACTGCATCTTCTTGTATGCCACTTCACTGCTGTCCTCCTGACCAGATCTCTATTGTTTACCCTTTCCGCTAACACTACCTGAACAACCATAGGTGTTTCCTATACAGCCCAAACACATCTAGGATTGGGCTAATGCTTGACCAGTGTATTGTTCTTTATGTGACCTATGACCCCTGTGTAACCCTACAGGTGAAACTGGTTCGTCTGGTGGGCATCATGCTGCTGTTCTATGTGAAGAATGAGCACGCCAAGCACATCTCTGAGATGGAGGCAGAGACCGTGGGCACAGGCATCATGGGTAGAATGGTAGGTGGTGTGTGTGTATGTGTCCAGTGAGGGTGTAGTAGGAGTAGATATCCTTGGCCACTAAGCGGGCTGTAATCAATTTCTTAGCAGTCTTGGCAGTTTAGGGCAGGAGGTTCGCTGGCGTCCGCTAGTTTCATTTAGCTTCCATTTTGCAGTTGGATAAGGAGTTATATTGCACTACAACCCCTTCTACCAACAAACTTTACTTCTACCAGGGTTTAGAAAACCAGTTTTCTCACATTATAGCCCCAAATACACCAGACTTGGAACCCAGGTATGCTTGCAAAACACATGTACGCCTCCTGATGTGGTACAATAGTAAAACATTGGATTTCCTATTGTTCATAGTGCAATTATTTGTATACCAAAAGCTGTAGCAGGATAGCTAACGCTAAAGTCGGGACATTGACAAATTTAACAGTGAGTGAGTGATGACCCTGAAAACACACAAGACTGATGGCTATAGCTATGTTCAACAGGTTTATTTATCTAGTTGTGATATTCTACCTTGCCTCGCAGGCTTGCTAGCTTGCTAGGTAATGAATCCTCTGATGACATCTGTGATGTTGTAGACGATAACCATCTGATTCCGTGTTTGTTAACTTGCACAAGCTGCATTTGAAGTTGCATGTGATCGTATCCACTGCTAGGTAAACAAAGCTTTTTCTGAAACAGTACTGCTTGTGCAACTTTTCATGATGCAGCAGGGAAATGGTTCTATAGGGCACACAATGTAAAAGTTTTACAAACCTCTCTCCTCAGGGAAACAAAGGTGCCGTGGCCATCCGCTTCCGCTTCCACAACTCTGACATCTGCGTGGTCAACTCCCACTTGGCCGCCCACATCGAGGAGTACGAGAGGCGCAACCAGGACTACAAGGACATCTGCAGCAGGCTGCTGTTCCACCAGAATGACCCCGCCATGGCCCCACTCACCATCTTGAAGCACAAGTATGAACAAGTCTTTAGTGCAAAGCAGTATTTCCACTTTTCAGGGTTGTGTTCATTAGGGCATGAACGTTTTAAAATGTTTTGGAACTAAAACGTTTCTTATTGGATATGTTTTGGGTCGTATTCATTATGGCAAACATTGATAATATTTCGCAAAGGAAAACAAAAATGAGTGTTTCTTATTGGATGAGTCCAGTTTTGTTATTTGGTGCCTAATGAACAGGACCCTGGATTTGGTAGTTGTGGTGGTACATCATCCTTTGTATTTATTCCGGCATGGTGCCATTTGCTGAAGGGCACAAAATAGGGAATTTATTATGTAAACCTTTGATCACAAGACCAGTGCACCTTGCCAATTTCACATGACTTTATAATGACTTACATGAATGCTTGAAATTAATGCAGTGTTTGGATGCAGTCGTAGAATGGGATGAGTTCTAGAACCACATGCAAAGCCACCGCCACGATTTTCCATATTGAAATAGAATTATAGAAGAGTAGTTATATTTCTATTATTTTCCATATTATCAATGCATCATATAATCCTTGTTTACAGTGTGGTCCTATGGCTGGGAGATCTCAACTACAGGCTAAGTGACCTTGACATCGACCATGTGAAGGACTTAATCGCCAAGAAGGATTTTGAAACGCTGCACAGTTATGACCAGGTAGGTCATCTCAAGCCGCTTAACTTCAAGCCATTTAAAAGTCTACTTCTGGCGTGCGTTCAGTAGGCAAATGTTGCGGAACGTTGCAGATAGAAATGTCATGAATAGAGCTGACATGAATCCTTACTCTATATGTCAGACAGGCATGTTTCTTCTACGTAATATCTGAACGTTACGCAACATTGTTCCCAGGGTCATATTCATTAGGCACCAAACGTAAGAAAACTGATCTGAAACAGGGAGGTACTACCTGACATTGTCCAATCAGAAACACTAATTTTCCGTTGCAAAACGTTTTGCTACATTATGCCCTAATGAATAAGACCCTGCTAATCTCTGTGTTCAGTGCCAGTCACATTATACCCTGATGAGTGTGGGAGTTGTCACGCTGTCTTGTTGTGGCTCTGTGGTCCTCAGCTGAAGAGGCAGATCGATGAGGAGGCTGTTTTCGTGGGCTTTGTGGAGGGAGAAATCTGCTTCCTGCCCACTTACAAATACGACACCGGCTCCGACCAATGGGACACAAGGTAACTTCTCCTCTCTAAATGTCTAGGATTATCTATAAAGGCAATGGAGAAAACAATAATACTTTACTAAAAGCCTGCAGATATATTGCATTATAATGCCGTTTATAATGCATCGTAAGAACATGTATGAACCCCTTATAATGTCTTATGGTTGTCGCATAATGAGCCTGAATAAGGCGTTTTGAGTTGGAATATTGATACATAGGGAGACAGAACATATAAGCCTTATTATAATGCATTACAAAGGCTCATGCATTCTTATAATATGTTTTAAAGCAATATAGCTGCAGAATAAAGTGTTACAAAACTCTTAAATATCTTATTGCGTGGAATTCGTCTCCGAAATGTCTTAGTTTCATGTTTCACGCCCTCAGTGAAAAGTGTCGCGTGCCGGCGTGGTGCGATCGGATCCTGTGGCGAGGCAAGAATGTGCGGCAGCTGCACTACCAGAGTCACATGGCCCTGAAGACCAGCGACCACAAGCCAGTCAGCTCCTTGCTGGAGATAGGGGTGAGAATGAGTTTTCTCCATCTGTCCTTTGACCTCTTAGAGACCATGAGGTTTTGGTTGGTTTACCCTGGGGGTCATAACCAAAGATTCTTATAGCTAACCCAAGATTGTTCAGATGGGCCTTTTACAATCTTAGTCACGCTATGGGGCAGAGCAAGCAAGGAGGTGGGCAGAGTTTCATCTTGCTCCATCCTCTCCCAATGCCTTGCCACTAGACCTATCTTTACCAAGTATGGGAATTACCTAGTGGAAGTGAGTTTTTAAAAATCCTTTTGACTAGTCTGAGTTTCCCCCAGAGCCATATATTTAGAGAGTTCAGACAACTTTTAGAATGGATGCTTTTGAGCATTTCATTTATCCATTCATGACAAGTATTTGGATTCTAATTCTAGATATTCTGTTGCATGGCATTGTTTAACATTTTTAAATAATGATATGCCTCTAGTTTCACCTATTAATCTGTGTTCTAACCTCCCTTCTCTGCTGCTTCCTCAGATCAAGCTGGTGAACGAAGAGTCTTACAAAAAGACATTTGAGGAAATTGTGCGCTCGCTGGACAAGATGGAGAACGAGTGCATTCCGTCCGTAATCCTGTCCAGGCGAGAGGTGAGTGGTCAAGAGTTAAGTGATTCTACTGTGAATTGTTATAGATGAAGAATATGTTAACATTACTCTGGTCTTTTATAATACACAATACAACATTATCAGTGAACATTGACAGCAGCAGGACCTTGTGAACAACGCTTATGAATTGAGCTCTGCTCTTTACGAACAGGAGTAAAATGTAGGGGAAATGTCTATGTGCTACTTGTACAAATGTACAATTTCTCTTAACATTTAAACTTTTTTTGTCGTTTAAACATAAAAAGAATAATAATATTCTAATGACCTGAATTCACAATTCAGATGTTGTTCTGTATATGACCGCTAGGGGTCAATGCAGTTCAATCTACCGCAGTCCTGGATACCTACATACCGGTTGTCACTATTTACCACAGCCACAGAGTCATAAAGCCAGCCTATTTGTACAATTTATCTTCTTAAAATTTGATTTTAAACCTTAACCACACTGCTAACCTTAGTCTAATCCTAACCTTACATTAAGTTTTCATGAATTTGTACGATATAGGCAATCTTGACTTTGTGGCTGTGGTAACTAGAGGAAACCCTACCAGACGGCGCTCACCTTACTGCTGTCCCCCACTAACAATGGTATTAATGTCGTTTTAAGTTCTCTGTTGTGCCTCTCCTCGACGTTGTCAGTATGTAGTTCATGTCCCACTGCTCGTTGCAGTGATGTATGACAGTGTGTTCATAGACGTCCAACAATCTGTTGTTAATGCCACATATGGGGTGTTTGAGAGCTTGCGCTTTGTACTTGCACTTGCAGAGCAATTATTGTACAATTTGTCCATCAGGGCCATCACGGTATTTCGACATGTCATCTTGTAGTCTGGTTCTAGACATGCCATTAGGTTATTGAAGCAGACATCCTCTACCATTGGCAATGGCTGCATATCAACTGCAATCATTTCTGTAATCAGCGCTGTGATTTTTCACACCCCTACTCCCTACCTGTGAAACCAAATCCAAATCACTCTCCCTCCCTCCCCAGTTCCACTTCAAAGACGTGAAATTCATGCAGCACCAGGCAGAGAGGCTGACCCTCCACAACGACGGGCAGGTCCCGTGCCAGTTTGAGTTCATCGAGAAGCTGGATGAGCCCACCTACTGCAAGCCCTGGCTCACCGCCAACCCAGCCAAGGGCTTCATTGCACAGGGTGAGTGTAGCAGGACTATGGCCCTATTCTTTCTTCCATGTTTTCTTGAGGTAAGCACATGTATCAAGGTGTGTCAGCGTAGAAGTGCTGATCTAGGATCAGGTCCCCCCCTGTCCATGTAGTCCAATTCATTGTGATCTCAAATGTAATACTGATCCTACATTAGCACTCCTACTCTGAGACGTCTGATACATACAGCCCCAGATCTAGAGTTTGGCTGGGTGAAAGCAAGGTTGCCACCCCATTACTTTCACCAACCTAACTAATTCAGATCTGTGAGTACTTCAAGGAAGGTCGGAAGGCATTTCTGAAGTTTTAGAACAGGGCCTAAGACTTACATTCAGGAATGGATATCAATTTATATAAGCACCTGGCCTCCCCGCTATGTTTGACTTAATGTCAGGAGCTCTATGACATAAGAAGCTGTTCTGAATAAATGATAGGTTTGAGTTTTCCCGGTGACTGGAATTGTTAGAGGCATTTTTTCAACTCAGTGTTGGCAAGGGAAACAATTTCAGATCTGTCTAGCACAAGAGACTTGTAAATAATGGAGAGATCTCAAGGCTTAGGATGGAAGGAGTGGTGGATGTGCCTCAGTGCTCTTTGCCTCTCTGGGTCTTGCTGATACAGTCTATTTTACAGTTTGTCTCATTTAGTTCTGAAGTTGTTGATGTAGTGATGCAGCTGTAGATGAATAGGGTTCCCTTCACACATTCATGTACAGTTAGTAATGCTTAGTGTACAGTACAACCTTTGCTTGTGGTTAGTCAACACCACTTGTCAGCAAGTTTCCACGCAGCACATGTTCATAGAGCAGGGTCATGTTCATTAGGTCACGCAACAGAAAACATTTAAAAACGTTTTGAAACAGAACATTTTGTGTTTCTTATTGGACATGTCCAAGTAGTCCCTCCTTCAGTTTGTCAGTGGAGTTTTCTTCCATTTGATCCCTAATGAACACAACCCTGTTAATCTGTGTCTCAGGGAATTGATAATCAGGAATTACTGCTTTTCTGACATTATCCTCCATTGATAAATCATTGAAATATACCTGATCCCGTCCTTACGCTGTTCACCAAGGCGGCAAAATGGACATCGACCTGGAGGTGTTTGTGAACCGCTCCACCGCCACGGAGCTCAACGCCGGCCGCCAGCAAATCGAGGACATCCTGGTGCTCCACCTGGAGCGGGGCAAGGACTACTTCCTCTCTGTGTCGGGCAACTACCTGCCCAGCTGCTTCGGCTCGTCCATCCAGACCCTGTGCCAGCTGAGGGACCCCATCCAGGAAATTCCCCTGGAGACCATCCGGGAGCTGGTGAGTTCAGTATAGCCAGCAAGGAGTGTGTTCATTATTGTATATATATTTTGCAATGGAAAGCAAAAATGTGCGTTTCTTATTGGACAAATTCATGGTTCCGAGTGAATACGAACCAGGTGCAGTCTGTTTCCCATTCTTCCCACTTCTCCAAAAGTGTGCAGTGGTCTGGTACATTCCCCATCTTGGATTTAAAAGCATTAGATTGGTGTAGCCTAAGCATTGGCTGAAGGGAGTTTCCACCATTGTGAAATATGGAGTATGCAAGTGCACATGTCCGGAGAAGGGTGGAGATTCAGGAATCACAACACCTGACCGTGGCCAGGAAATGTCCCCCTCTTCAGGGCTGTTTTATATGACACTATTGTCAGGAAAGGCCTTGCCCAGAATAAAAACAATTAAAGTGAAAGTGCTCTGGGGGGATTCTGTCCTGCTGATAATTTTTGCATAATTTTGTTTTCTATGTAAATGCACAGTTATCTAAAAATGACCAGGAAGTGTGAATGTTGAACTAGCTGCAGTCTATAGTCCCCCAATTCATTGAGACTAGAGACATTTGCACTAAAGAGAGAGACTACAGGGAAATTCTGTTTGTAAGCTTTTAGTTATAGCCCCCCATTTCCTTTTTGTCTTACTAAGCCTACTTCTTATGTAAAAACAGAAACTGTTTGTATTGTTTTTGGCACTGTGTGAACCAAATAGGAGATTTTGTGTCTGAAGTGGGTTTCCAAGCAGGGAATCAAATCACCCATTGGCCCAGAACACACTGTTGCCAGGGAAGAATATCCACAGGGTCATTAGCGTTGCAAAACAGCATGGCTGTCATGTACGATTGAGCAACCCGCTCCAGTAGCCTCTGCATTTGTGTTTGATCTTCAGTCAGTGTTATGGTAAAACTGACTAGATGAAAAGATGATAGATTCTGAGAATAAAGAAGCCCAAAGATGTCAAGTTTAATACAAGTCTCACCCTTTTTTATATTTGTATTTAATTTAATTATCTATCTATGGCTCGCTAGTTATTCATACAGGCAGCAGAAATAGCTACAGCACATGTCCTCTCAGGTTATGTTGTTAAAGAAAGGTTAGGTCCAGGATTTGAATCCATTTCACTAAATTGTCTATTTTTCTTGTCTTCTTTCTAAAGACGTTGTCAGGCGATGAGACCAGCACCTTAATCATCGATAAGCCCCTGGATATCCCTAAAGAGATATGGCAGATGGTGGACCACCTATACCGTAATGCTCCTAAACAGGTCAGGACTCACACAAATCTTTTACCATTTTCACACTACTGAGCCAAACCAAGCTGGGCCCGGTTTCCCAAAAGCGACCTTAAGGTTAAGTTCGTTAGAACCATTGTTAAATCTCCGAGTTGTTTCCTAAAACCATTGGTTAGTAAAGTTGCTCTTGAAAACGCTCGTTATCTACCGACTGCCTCAGACCATCGTAGAACAGCTAGGTGCTTCGTTGGATGCTTTTTTGCCCCTCACTTTATACACAGAAGATCTCCGCTAAACATAGAATCAAGCTGTTTATCTGTCTCTCTGCGACCACCGATAACTTCGGAACGAAGTTGACTACAAATACAAAGTTGCCAATGTCTTTACAATTGAACAAGCAAAGGATAAAAATATGCTTCAAATGAACTGAGATGACTGCATTAAAAAATAAATAGGCATGCAGTAGGCCTATAGGCTACATAGGCCTTTACATTTCAAACATATTGAAATCAATTTCATGTTCAGTCAATTGAGTTCTATTTGTTGGCTACACTCTGTCAATTTTGCCTCAATATATTTCATGATTTGTAACGTGCTCAATGATGTGCCAAATGAATCTGTGATTTAGTGAATTATTGTAAGGTAAGGATTAGAATAAGCCGCCTCAATATTTGCAGCCGTAAGGTGATATCTCTCTAGGAGCTGATCTGTTGTCAGTATTGTGGAATAATTGTAATGTTAAGGTAAGATATGAATGGAGAAAGCTGATCAGAGAGCAGCGCTGCCTTTCATTCGATCCTATCAGTATCGATGCATGCTCCAACGGCGCACTTGGTGAAAGTTATTTCTATGTGGTGTAGGAACAATGCATCTTTAACACACTCATAAGCCTAAATTGCATCGCTATCGGGAAAACGGGCCCTGAGCTGTACTGGGCTGGCTTTGTTATGCCTCCACAATAGTTGTTGCTGCCTGGAAGGGACAATGTGAAAAGAAAAAATCAGAACCGTTACAGCTCGGGTCAGAATCAGGCATTCGTTTCTTGACGCTACACTAGTTTCCAAGGACATTGGCTAGTACCTTTTGCCTACTTACCTCCCCTTTCCCAGTTAGTTGCACAGCCTCAAATAATTCAAATTGAGTTGGGCAGCTTTTGGCATCCTCCCAGCTGTGTGCTTTTTTTTTTACAAGGACAGACATATTAGTGTCTTTCACCACAGCAACCCAGCGGAGTGTAAATAGGAACGTTTGGAAACATTGTATTTGTCTCTGGCAACCACCAACAGGCTGGAATGACTCAACAGAACGGTTTTGTCTCTGTGATGCCCGGTTTGCTTTTTTGCCAAACCTGGCTCTGTCTGAATGTTAAGGGCCAAATAAATATATTTATTAGTTGATTAATTCAAAAAGTGAAATGTTGCGTTTCATAATACTCTACTATATTGACATGAATACAGCTCTACTGAATTGTGGCACAGCGTTTCATACTATTTAGGTCATCCCTGATCAGTTGAAATGCTGCTCTTTTTGCCGGCTACCTTTCTGTGTGCTTTGAAGTTATGTGTTTACAGTACAACTCTATAACCATTTGTCTCTATTTCTAGGGGGAACTATTTCAACAACCTGGGCTCCGCAGTGAATTTGTGGAGATAAGGGATTGCCTTGACACTGGCATGCCAGACTCGCTCCGTATCCTTAACAACTGATATACACCTGGGTTGTGTTCATTAGGCATTAAATGGAAGAAAATGGCCTGAAACAGGGAGGGACTACCTGGACATGTCCAATAAGAAACGCTCATTTCATTTTCTGTTGCAAAACGTTTTCCATTTTGTGCCTTAATGGACACAACCCTGGTTAAATTAAGTCTTAGTGTCTACTCAATTTTTTAAGTGGTTGATGCCCCTTGACCCGTGTTGTCCCCTAGCTGGCAGTAACCACTCTGTGGCAGAAGCACTGCTCCTCTTCCTCGATGCCCTCCCTGAGCCTGTGGTCCCCTTCTCCCTGTACCAGCAGTGCCTGGAGTGCTGCTCCAACACCAGTCAGTGTAAAAAGGTCAGTACCAATTCAACTCACTCTTTAAAGTAGCCAACATGACTTTTCTCAGTGCCCCTATAGTAGGATATTCTGTATGTAATGATTGTCTACTAGGTCGTGTTCATTAGGCTTCAAACGGACTGAAACAGGGAGGGACTACCTGGACTTGTCCAATAATACTTTTTAAAAAATGTTTTCTGTTGCGTGCCCTAATGAACCCAACCCAGTTGTGGGAAATTGCCAGTGACTTGCTCTCATGTTGGGGTGTTTGAACTTGTCTATGGTGTTGATTGCTATTGAGTGATGTTTTTCTTCATCCTCAGGTTGTATCCTCGTTACCTCAGTGCCATAAAAACGTGTTTAACTATATAGCGGCTTTTCTCCGCGAGTTGTTGAAGAATTCTACACACAATAGCCTGGATGTCAACATTTTAGGTAAGGTGAAATGGAAAAATCGTGTAACACATTTAGCATTCTTATCAAACACACAAACAATTGAGTGAATTTGTGTTTTGAAATAGTTAAAATGAAACTTCATGGTCTTCTTGACCAGTACCCAAGAGGTTCAATGTTTACAAAGTCGAGCAGTGCAAGTTTAAGATCAGAAGCCGTAACAAGGTTTCCTACTTGTTGGTTTCCATATGTGTCACAATATGCAATGAAACAATAAAAAAAACTGTTGCGATGAAATGCCTGATTATTCCACTGCATGCAAATGGTTATGCTAGCTTGTTTGGATTTTATATTCCAAAAAGGCCATAGTAGTCTTTCTGTACTGTGATACTGTGCATATGTTTTTTCCTTTTTCACCTTAGGGCAATCAGATATCATTTATTTACTTAGTTAAAAATATAGCCTAGTAATGCAATACTAGCTATAGCTATGATATTAGCTGTAATAATGCTGGGTCCGATTCTGGATTTGGTTCCTTTTTCAGTGTATTCTCCTTTTAATTTAATATTTTATGATACAAAATAAAAAAGCAAAACTATTTCATCTTACATCAAGTGCCAGTTAGTAATTATTATGTTATTGACATTGTGCCCTGTGTCATCCCTCACAGCCACCATTTTTGCTGCCTTGCTACTGAGGTCACCCACGAAGCAGGACCTTGCAGAGAAGAGGAAGACCCAAGAGTTCTTTGAGCATTTCCTGGTCCAGGACCTCTCCTGAATAGAAGAGGGTGCTCCTGCCATGTCCTACATGCTGCAAACTATTTTACACACTATTGTAGTTTAAATGTACAACTCAGTATTTGTAAAACATGTAATATGTTCCTATTCATATAGATGGCTCTTTGTATAGGCACACAGTCAGTCAAATTGATAAGGCCTACTCTCCTTTGATTTGAAATCAACTATGTTTTGACAAGCAATGTTTAACCTGTAAGCTGTTGATGCACAGCTTTTATTCTATCACTGAGCAGCTGTAGTAAACTGACCGTTTTTAATATGTATATTTACCAGTTTATTTAAAGAGAAAATTATTTGTGCTGTTTTGTGAAGGCAAAGCAGTGGTTTGTTCTTTTTATATATGAAAGTATTTGAAACAGTTGTGGTTTGGCTATTATTTCATGTTTCTTTCCCATTTAGCAAGCAAATGGAAAAAGTTTGTTTGGAATTTAATAAACCGACTGTCACATTTGTCTTTGGCCTATCCGATGTGGTCCTTTGGCTGTTAGTACTGATTGGGAATTACAGATCAAATAATTGCTTTAGTAGCATTATTCTAAATTGTATATTTCATTTCAGTGGTTTCGATTTCATTTATAGGGGTACTAGTGTACATGGGAGGGGTATATTTCCCAGAATACAACACAAGAGGGAGGCTGAAATATGACGTTTATATTTAATCATGGTACCACTAGGGAGGCGATGGGAAGAAAGTGCTAAGCAACCCGAAACATAAACCAAGTCTGCAATTTCTCTGCACCGGTAAATGTTTTCTGTTTTGTATATATGTTTCTAGCGGAGCCCTGTAAATTGACGAAGTAAAAGTTCTGCTTCGACGGGAGATTTTTTGACAGACAGCCAGTCAAGCTAACGTTCGCTGGCTAGCTAGCACTACGTTAGTTCCCAGATTTTTAGCTAGCGTTAACTAACGTTGTCGTTGCCTAACTAGTTAGCTAGTAACGTTAGATATCTAAGCATAAAATACCCTGCTTGTTGTTTTACGCTGCATGCTTGGTAAAGCTGCGTATCATGAACTTGTTCATTGGTATTATAGCTAGATAGCTAGTCTGAAACGTTGTTGATTCATGTTAGCTAGGTAGACATTACGTTACGTTAGCGAAATCGCGTTGCATTGTCAAAACTAGCTGTCATGTTTTCCTTCTAGCTAACATGCTATGTAAAAGTGTTTAACTAGCGTGACATTTCCGTTTGCATATTAGCTAGCTAGTTGCTGTTAATTAAACTGTCATGTCGATCGAAGTCAACTAACCTAGCTAACTATTGCTAGCTGGCTGTTTATTTAGCTAACGTTACCTAGTTATTACGAACGTTATAGGTTGGAAGTTGGTTGTCCTTGCAACGCTAAAGTTAGCTGCCCACCGACCTAGCTACCCAGCCAGATAATTACAACTATTCACAAATGCACGAGCTAGCTAGCTACTAGTGATGTGGTCGCGCAGTATGGAGCCTTTAGTCAAAAGGCGAAAGATGAGTGTGACATGCCATCTTTAACTTGTCTCCTGAAAGTGTTTGTAAATATCTTTGTAATCCTAGCTAAGGTAATACTTATTTTCCATGATAAGTCAACTTTGGCTGGCACCACTGTGCTGTCAAATGAAATCCGAAAGTTCTAGAACTCCATGGCTGGCAAGATGGTTAGTGCCTAGGAACATACAGCGAGATGCACACCATTCAAATCAAACCAAATGAAATGTTATTTGTCACATACTTTGTAAACAACAGGTAGACTAACGGTGAAATGCTTATTTACGATCCTTCCCAACAATGCAGAGAAGGGGGGAAAAGAAAGAATAGAAAAATAATAACACGAGGAATAAATACACAATGAGTAACGATAACTTGGCTATATACACGGGTTACCAGTACCGAGTCGATGTGCGAGGTAATTGAGGTAGATATGTACATATAGGTAGGGATAAAGTGACTAGGCAACAGGATAGATCATAAACTGTATCATCAACGTATGTGATGAGTCAAAGTTAGTGCAAAAAGGGTCAATGCAGATAGTCTGGTTAACTATTTAACTAACTACAGTATTTAGCAGTCTTATGGCTTGGGGGTAGAAGCTGTTCAGGGTCCTGTTGGTTACAGACTTTGTGCATCGGTACAGCTTCCCATGCTGTAGGAGAGAGAACAGTCTATGACTTGGGTGGCTGGAGTCTTTGACCATTTTTAGGGCCTTCCTCTGACACCGCCTGGTATAGAGGTCCATTCGGGCGTTATTCGATTTATTTGCTATTTGTAAGCCACTCTGACACATTTTTCTCCATCGAGTGAGTAGCCTTCTGCAGTTGAGCTGGCTGCTTAAAGGAAAGGGCTCAAATCTACCCATGTAACTGTGATACTCATGGAATTTGTTGTCTGAATTAGCCTAAGTCCATTTATAGCTACATCTAGACCTTATGCCAATGCATCGTAGAGAATAGGTGGGTTTTATCATTTCACTCCAGCGTTAGGGAATAGGTATAACTGTCCACCTTTTAGATGAATGGTTGTTATGGCGCTATGCATGGCATGTTTGAAGATGACGAGTAGCCTACACTATACCACTTTAGGCTATAGATTTGGTGGTTTTTAACTGGCACTGCCAGAGAACTGTTCAGTTATCCTCTCTAGCTGCATCCTCAATATAGCCAGGTATTTGCTTCTAGAACAAGTGTTCCACGCTTGTCATTGGCTTAAAAATAGCTGCTCTGCATTGTCCCACTTACCTACCTTTGCAATACTCCACCAAATAACTTTCCAAGTATCTATATTCTGCTCTTGGTACGTGGAAATATTAGCCTCAAGTGTCAAAGCCTTTGTTTCCCCTCTCAAATTTACTGTTTACCGTATTTGCTTGGGAGTCACGTAGGCCTTTCCCTTTAGGCCGAATAGCTACAGGGTTAGCCCAGGTCACTGACTGAAGCTAGGCTCTAGCTACTTTAATTGCAAGGAATCATAATTTGTTATATGGTTTACTTCAATGGCACTAGACATAGCAAGCAGATAGATTGTTTCTGTAAACAGAATTGTTTTGAAATTCAGAAAGGGGTAGGTCAGCACTCACAGCCCTGCATTTAAAATGAACACTTTGACTTTGAAGGGGCACAGCACGACTCCTCAAAGCCACCACCCTCACACTTTCCTGTCTATCCTACTCTGTGCAGGAACAAGTAAGCACGCCGTCCTCTGCGCACACTCACCTGCCAGAGGCGGCCAGCCCAGCCGGGACTATGAGCGAGCGTGGCCCTCGCACTGAGGCCTCCATGTTTTTCCAGGTGGAGGTGGACCGCCTCGAGCGCGATGACAAAGAGGACAACGATGAAGACAAGATGGCGCACTACGACGACGACAAAGACGACGACGACCTGATGTCGCCACCCTCGGGCTCCCGTGTCTACGACCGCACTACGGTGCTCATCGAGCAGGACCCAATCCGTCTGGATGAGGAGGGAGAGGAGGACCATAGACACTGCGTGGGGGACGACGACGGGGGCGCCTTCCTGGTCGACGGGGACCTGGACGAGGAGGATGAGGAGGAGGGCTCTATGACCTTCATGGGCGACCAGGATGGCATGTCGCAGGGATACGTGCATCACACCATCTCGCCCGACCAGATCCAGTTCATCATCAACCCGGGGTCCATGGCCATGCCGCGCAACATCGAGGGGGCCACCCTCACCCTGCACTCGGAGTGTCCGGAGACCAAGCAAAGAGAGGTATGTTGGCTTACGTGCCCCCTCACCACTGTAATGCATTGTGTGACACTGTATTGAGGTCATACAGCGTGTTTGAGGGTATCAGTTTGAGCAAGGCGAGGCGCAGAATCGCTAATCTTGATCACATAATGTGTAGTCATTTGGAATGCAAGGTGGTTTGTAGATCAGAGATTTTGCGCCGCCTGACTTAAATGTACTTGATCTCAACACGCAATTAGCCTAGTGTGTTGTGGTAAGTAAAAATAATAGAGAACCCGTGTTGAAAGGGAGCAACGTGAGGCATGAGCAGGGAGAGTACATTTGCCGGATGAATGAAATGCTTTGATTTGCCTAGCGAGCTAGGTTCTCCGCAAGGCCTTTCTGCTTCCACATGGTTTTATATGATAAATGTTTAACCCCTCCTTCCCTGTGTACAGTACAGCACAGCACACATAGTAAATGACTCAGCTTGTGCAGTGTCATTGTTTGTATTGTCATTGTTTGTATTGTACTTTATGATGGCAGGTCTAGTGGCTGCAGACTTTACGCCTAGCTCTTAATCATTGTGTAAGGCACGCTGGTCTGCAAAAGAGCACTGTACAATGGAGCTTGTTGGAGGGTTGCACCTCTAGGCTATTTCTTCCTAAAATGCAAAGCAGCACCGTAACAACAGGCTAGCTCAGGGTCACACCAGTGTTCCGTTCAACACTACTCCTAGCCAATCATGGTGAGGCCCGGCCAAATATTGCACCCTCAATGCAACAAAGTTCCTGTTTGTTACCAGTGTCCCCCTTTGTCACCATGTTGGCCACTTGGCCAGTGCCACTAGGGTCCTTGTGCTGTCTTTGTGGTAAAGTGCTCTGCTGGAGCCCATCCAGTCCACTCCTCCCCCTCCTAGCCTAGCTACTTGCATGATGTCATTGAGGGAGAGACAATGCATTTTACTTACTTACAATTGGATTTATGAAATCTCATCTACAGACTCTGAGCCAAAGATGCAATCACCCCAAATGATTGTTCCTCTCCCAACTCATTTGGCATCCGTTCATGCTGCTTCTCCACAATGTGTCCTCCTTCTTTCCTTTTGACTTTTGTCAAACATTGCAGATGTGGATGCCAAACATTGCAGATGTGGATGCCAAACATTGCAGATGTTAATTTCAATGTTTCTCTAGACTAGGTGTTCTAAATGTCTCTGCAACACAAAGCAGTCCATAGCATTGCATTTCAGTAGGCTTTGCCGCATTCTTACATACCATTTCAGTACACTTAGCAGCATCTAGTTGCATTCTCTGTGTAGCCTACAACTGGAGTGCTCTTTCCCCATTGTGCATGTGGGAGGCGATGGCATGCCAATCTAGTTACCCTCTGTGATGGAAGTGATGCTGCAGAAGTTGGGGAGTCAGTCGTGAAGCTGTGGGGGTTGAATAACAATACAGTACAGCTAATCCACTGCGTGGGGTTCATGTTCATTCATCTATTTACTTCCTTTCCACCTCTCTCCAGTTAGAAATGATTTTTATTTTTGCGCTGTCTTTATGCACATTCACAGGACCCTACACACTCACGCACACTGACACCCCAACACACACACACACATAACATGCACACACATTTAAACGGACCCTACACACACGTACACATTCATCATATACACTGCTACTACTCTGTTTATCAGACAGTGCATTCGAAAAGTATTCAGACCCCTTGACTTTTTCACACAAAAAAAACTTTACAGCCTTATTCTAAAATTGATTAAATCGTTTTTTTTCCCTCATCAATGACAAAGCAAAAACAGGTTTTTAGAATTTTTAAATATCACATTTACGTAAGTATTCAGACCCTTTACTCAGTACTTTGTTGAAGCACCTTTGGCAGGGATTACAGCCTCGAATCTTGTTTCTCATGGTCTGAGAATCCTTTAGGTGCCTTTTGGCAAACTCCAAGTGGGCTGTCGTGCCTTTTACTGAGGAGTGGCTTCAGTCTGGCCGCTCTACCATAAAGGCCTGATTGGTGGACTGCTGCGGAGATGGTTGTCCTTCTGGAAAGTTCTCCCATCTCCACAGAGGAACTCTGGAGCTCTGTCAGAGTGACCATTGGGTTCTTGGTCACCTCCCTGACCAAGGCCCTTCTCCCCCGATTGCTCAGTTTGGCCGGGCGGCCAGCTCAAGGAAGAGTCTTGGTGGTTCAAAACTTCTTCCATTTAAGAATGATGGAGGCCACTGTGTTCTTGGGGATCTTCCCCAGATCTGTGCCTCGACACAATCATTTCTCAGAGCTCTACGGACAATTCCTTTTGACCTCATGGCTTGGTTTTTGCTCTGACATGCACTGTCAACTGTGGGACCTTATATAGACCGGTGTGTGCCTTTCCAAATCATATCCAATCAATTGAATTTACCATAGGTGGACTCCAATCAATTTGTAGGAACATCTCAAGGATGGTCAATGGAAACAGGATGCACCTGAGCTCAATTTTGAGTCTCATAGCAAAGGGTCTGAATACTTTTGTAAAAAAAGGTTTTTCTGTTTTTTATTAGTAATACATTTGCAAAAATTTCTAAAAACCTGTTTTCACTTTGTCATTATGGGGTATTGTGTGTAGATTGATGAGGAAAAGAAATAATTTAATCAATTTTAGAATAAGGCTGTAACGTAACAATGTGGAAAAAGTCAAGGGGTCTGAATCATTTCTGAATGCACTGCATGTCTTGATTCCTAGTCACCTTACCCCTATGCATATCTACCTCTATCACTCCAGTATCTCTGCACATTGTAAATATGGTACTGGAACTGACCATGTATATAGTTTACTTACTTTCTCGCGTTCTTATTTCTATTTCTCGTGTGTTTTTGCTCTATCTTATGTTATTTTTACTACATTGATATTGATTACTGCATTGTTGGGTTTAGAGCTGGCAAGAAAGGCATTTCACTGTACTTGTGCACATGACATTGAAATTTGAATGAATAGCATAACCAGTCTAGTATCCCCAAGGGACGGGTTATGCTGGGTCGTATTCATTAGTGCACAATGTAGCATAACGTTTTGCAATGGACAACTTCAGGTAGTCCCTCCCTATTTCAGTCAGTTTTCTTCAGTTTGGTCCCTGATGAATATGACCTCCGGCTGGGGGGTTCTCCTTCTATCCTCCTTAAACATAGCCAAGACAACTGTTGGCCTATCTCCCACTGCGTCTCTGTTAGGTTCCAGTAATTTGTAGTCTCATGCGGAGACTGCTAGCGGACACCAGTTGTCATGGCTGGAATCAATGCTTTTGGAGAAATAATAGAGGACCGCTAGCTCTAAATAATAACTTGGATTGGACAGGCTGTTGTGTCTAGTAGGGCCTCTGTGTGCAATGTGGCCATCCAGGGGTTACATAAGGGGATGTAAGCCATTGTTGACTATTTATTAAGGGAAAAGAGTGTCATTTTAACGTGGTCAGGGCTGGTTGACTTTCTCTTGAAATGTTTTTTTTTTTTAACCCCCAGTCTACAAGAGGATCAAGGCATTAAGTTATGGGATATAACGCGTGCTCTGAATATAGAATTGTTTTGTGGGGGGGGGGGACAATAAAGCTTGGATGGGAAGGCTTTGTGTTATGACAATGTAGGCTAGTGTGTTCTATGGGTATACGGAGGAGGGGAAAGGATCCAGCTTTAATCTCTCCCCGGGGCCTTTTGTGTGAGAACAGAACAGAGCCATAAGATTGACTGCCACGGCCGCTGAATGCGGAGACTGCTGAGTTGAAACACAGTGCACAGCAGAATCAGTCGGATGGAAATGGATGGGGGGGTCGAGTCACTGATGACATGTGTGCTTACCTGCTCATGCGCTGACGTGTGGCTGAGTCACTGGGTTCAAGCCCCGGGTTCAAGTTCACTTTGAGTCAGTGTGGTGGTTGCCTATGCGAACGTTGGAATTGGAAAGGTTCCTTATATTAAGCCATTCATCTTCCCTGCTCTCTCATATAAAATACTGTTTAAACAGCTAGTTATCTAAGGACCATTACTTTGATTGCTGGCTTTTACCTAAGCCTCTAGATAGCAGGAATCAGCCTTTTCACTTTTATTTTCTCCACATCATATTATCAGAAATGAGACAGAATCACTTCTCCATATTGCAATATACATCTAGCCGTGTCATTGTTGCCTGTGCAATCATACCCCATTTTGTTTTCCTATTGCCTCCTTCTCAACCGTATTGGAGGAGGAGAAGGTCCAAGGTCCCTCCCCTCTGACCTTATTATCCAAAGTCTTTTGAGAGGCGAGGAGAGAGGTCGCAAAGAATCAAGGAAAGATTAATTAAGAACAAGTAATTATCTTCTTGTCTGTCACTCAGGTGAAGAGGTACCAGTGCATGTTTGAGGGCTGCACACGGACCTACAGCACGGCGGGCAACCTACGCACGCACCAGAAGACCCACCGGGGCGAGTACACATTTGTGTGCAACCAGTTGGGCTGCGGCAAGGCCTTCCTCACCTCCTACAGCCTGAAGATCCACGTGCGCGTTCACACCAAGGAGAAGCCCTTTGAGTGCGACGTGCAGGGCTGTGAGAAGGCCTTCAACACTCTGTACAGGTGAGGCTCGACTAACACAAAACTTCCTAGCTGCATGTCGAAATATTCCCAGACATGCTGACTAATCGGATGACTATCTATCTACAGGTAACTACCAAAATAAAGGCAACACCAACATAAATTGTCTTAATAGGGCGTGGGGCCACCACGAGCCGCCATAACAGCTTCAATGTATGTTGGCATAGATTCTACAAGTGTCTGAAACTCTATCGGAGGGATACAACACCATTCTTCCACAATAAATTCCATCACACCATTCTTCCACAAGAAATTCCGCCATTTGGTGTTTTGTTGATGGTGGTGGAAAACTCTGTCTCAGGCGCCACTCCAGAATCTCCCATAAGTGTTAAATTGGGTTGAGATCTGGTGAGAGAGACACACACCCTTTAAACCCCCTATGCTTCTTTGAAACCCCGCTTTCAAAGTTACTGAGATCTCTTATTCTAGTCATGGTAGCCAAAATAATGGGCAACTGGGCATTTTTATATATACATTATATATGACCCTAAGCATGATTGGATGTTAATTGGTTAATTAACTCAGGAACCACACCTGTGTGGAAGCACTTGCTTTCAATATACTTTGTATCCCTCATTTACTCAAGTGTTTCCTTTCTTTTTATTATACAGTTACCTGTATATGTAGGCCTATACTAAAGATGAATAGATGATAGATGAAAGATAACAGGTAATAGATGACATATAAAATAGATAATAACTAAGATAATAGATACAAAGATAAAACATATGAATAGTAAAGTGACTATCTAACCTACACCTAGGGCCTAAAATTTACTTTTTGGTCCACCATCCACAACCACTCAATTTTTTACCATAAAACAACGGATGACCATGCTTTTTAATGTTTCTTAAACAATAAATGTATTAGAAGTAATGTGGTATATTGCTCAATTTTTTGGGGGGGGTGACCAGTCTTTTAACCAAAATATCAGAGACAAAATGTTCAGCTGCCCCTTTAAAGGTGGGAGGTTACCGTGGTAACGGGTACACTTGAGTCCTGTCACATGATTTGGTATCAGACCAGGGCATCTCTTCATAGTCCCAGTAAGCAAAATGACGTTGAAGTTGCGTTCAATTTAGGTTCTGAATGAAAGGTGAAAATGTATTTCCCTTATGTTTTAAAGTATGATGATAAATACTTATTTTACAGATGTTGAAATCAGGCTAGTTTTTGGTTCTTAATGAAAGTAGAAAATAAGTCATTTATAGACGTCTATGTTTGGGCCAAATCAAGGCTGGTCTAGACCAGACAAAATCTGAACCAAACATAGACCGGACCAAAAATCTATGTCTGTTCTAATAGCCAAACTTTTCCCTTCTTCAGTCAGCTGTTCGTTCCACAAAACCCCCCAGCTGTGACAGTTATTTTATTTTCCATAACCATCAGTTACGCAGTTATATGGTAATTGTGCCAGCCCTAGGCCTAGTTTCTTCATTCAGTCTGAGCCTGCATAAAAAAGGATGTATCAAAAAAGAGGATGTGCTTGCTTCTCTTATCTACAGCACGGTCTGTCTGTAGGCCCAAGCATTCTGTCAGTTCATTGTGGTCTAATATTGGTAGTATTGAAGTTGTGTTTTTTCTCCCAAGTACTGAGCAGTGCCTTTTTATGCATTGTTGGGTGATCTAGCCTAATTGATATGGACTTTGTTTATAGATTATCTCCCAATTTAGTTTTCTAATTTGACTGTTGAGTTCTGCTGCATTTAGCTTATTTGGCTTAGCACTCAATAAAGACATTATGGATGGAGGCCTTCAGCCAGGCCAGTAGTAGGTTTGTCAGCCAGTGGCTCCAGTGTTGTGACATTGAACTGAAGGCCACAGAGACGGGAGATGGTGGAAGCGTGCCACCATCGACTCCCCTGTCAGGGTCCATTTATCAGCACGGCCAAGCCAATGCCATGCTGTGTTGTTTCACCCTAATCACATTACTTTGCTCTTATCAGAACCATGCTGCCCTGTCCCCTCCTATAAGGGAAACAGTGGCGCTACATGTCTACTAGATCAAGGCTAAGGTCCTGTTCATTAGGCACCAAACAGAAGAAACCAGACTGAAATAGGGAAGGACTACCTAGACTTGTCCAATAAGAATTGCTCATTTTGGTTTTCCATTGCTTGCCCTAATCAACATGACCCTGGATTGTGTCCTTAAAGTTTAAAGCAAGATTAGGTTAAATTCTTTCCCGATTTGGGCTCTTTCTCTTGGTGTGCTACCTAATCTTCTAGGCCCAAGTGTTTGCACATTAACAGTCTGCTGTGTTGTAATGTGTGCCAATGTTTTTTGAATGTTTATTTAATTCAAGACGGTGAGAACATTTTCAGCAGCTCAATATTTTTGCTCTTATTAAAATGTCCACTTGGAAGTAGGCCTAGCATTAAATATAGATTATTTATATATATACAGTTGACATTCCTGTCTTGCAGGAAATCACGCACAGAACGAGAAGTATGGCTGGTGGCATTGTCATGCTGGAGGGTCATGTCAGGATGAGCCTGCAGGAAGGGTACCACATGAGGGAGGAGTATGTCTTCCCTGTAACGCACAGCGTTGAGATTGCCTGCAATGACAACAAGCTCAGTCCGATGATGCTGTGATACACTGCCCCAGACCATGACGGACCCTCCACCTCCAAACCGATCCCGCTCCAGAGTACAGGCCTCGGTGTAACGCTCATTCCTTCAACGATAAACGCGAATCCGACCATCACCCCTGGAGAGACAAAACCGCAACTCTTCAGTGAAGAGCACTTTTGGCCAGTCCTGTCTGGTCCAGCGACGGTGGGTTTGTGCCCATAGGCGACGTCTGGTGAGGACCTGCCTTACAACAGGCCTACAAGCCCTCAGTCCAGCCTCTCTCAGCCTATTGCGGACAGTCTGAGCACTGATGGAGGGATTGTGCGTTCCTGGTGTAACTCGGGCAGTTGTTGTTGCCATCCTGTACCTGTCCCGCAGGTTTGATGTTCGGATGTACCGATCCTGTGCAGGTGTTGTTACATGTGGTCTGCCACTGCGAGGACGATCAGCTGTCCGTCCAGTCTCCCTGTAGCGCTGTCTTAGGCATCTCACAATAGACATTGCAATTTATTGCCCTGGCCACATCTGCAGTCCTCATGCCTCCTTGCAGCATGCCTAAGGCACGTTCACGCAGATGAGCAGGGACCCTGGGCATCTTTTTTTTGGTGTTTTTCAGAGTCAGTAGAAAGGCCTCTTTAGTGTCCTAAGTTTTCATAACTGTGACCTTAATTGCCTACCGTCTGTAAGCTGTTAGTGTCTTAATGACCGTTCCACAGGTGCATGTTCATTAATTGTTTATGGTTCATTGAACAAGCATGTGAAACAGTGTTTAAACCCTTTACAATGAAGATCTGTGAAGTTAGTTGGATTTTTACGAATTATCTTTGAAAGACAGGGTCCTGAAAAAGGGACGTTTCTTTTTTTGCTGAGTTTATATATACACACACTACCAGTCGAAAGTTTGAACACACCTACTCATTCAAGGGTTTTTCTTTATTTTAAAAATTTTTTTACATTGTAGAATAATAGAGAAGAAATCAAAACTATGAAATAACACATGGAATCATGTAGTAACCAAAAAAGTGTTAAATGAATCAAAATATATTATCTTCAAATGGCCACCCTTTCCCTTTATGACAGCTTTGCACACTCTTGGCATTCTCTCAACCAGCTTCATGAGGTAGTGACCTATATATTTTTTACCTATATTTACAGTAAGGAATAGAATTCCACGAGAGGAGTGCATCATTCTTCAAACACTGCTTAACCCTTACGTTTTTGTTTTTATACTGTAACTAGCCGGTCCGGCCCACTGCTTCCTGCTTCACGATTGGCTCTCATTCGCTGAGGTTGAAAACATAAACAACAGTAGACTACTTCACGTCCATGCAACTTTTTGGGGGATTACGACATGGTTAGAAAGCAGTAATAATCATTTCTAAGCCGTATTCTTCAAAAAGGAAATCAAATGTATCCCCCAAACGTTACACGTAACTCCTTTAAATCTTCCCCTTGGTTGATGAAATGTGATTATCTCCTCTCGGCAGACTGAAAGCACACCAGAGACTGCACACGGGGAAGACGTTCAACTGTGAATCGGAGGGATGCACAAAGTACTTTACCACGCTCAGTGACCTGAGAAAGCACATTCGCACTCATACCGGGGAGAAACCATTCCGGTGAGTTCTCCGACACGCACCACTGTGGTTTATGTTTCACAAAGGGAGAAACATAAACCACAGTCCTCTGTAGCTCAGCTGGTAGAGCACGGCGCTTGTAACGCCAGGGTAGTGGGTTCGATCCCCGGGACCACCCATACACAAAAAAAATGTATGCACGCATGCTGGATATAAAGCAAGGACATTATCTCCTCATGTTTGGATGAGGATGCCCTTTTATTGGTATTAGATTTTCTATGCATATAAACAAATGTAGCCTAATTGAGTGGGACAAATGTACATTGAGGGGATTATATTGTTCATCTGTACTGATTTGTGAGATATATGGGTTTGTATTGGAAGAACAGTGAGGGGCATGACTGTGCTTTGTGGTGCACCAATTCTTTCTAATTTCTATGCACCAGCTTTTCTAATTTATGCATTTTTCTCTACTGCTGTTTGGTTACATTGACAGATCATTTGTGTGATCTTCCCTCTAGGTGTGACCATGATGGTTGCGGCAAGGCGTTTGCTGCCAGCCATCACCTAAAGACGCACGTACGGACACACACAGGTTCGCTTTACTTAGGCTACTTCTGTTTGGAAAATACATTGTCAGTCAAATCTCAGAATGACAGTCAACCAATCATTCATCCACATTCCATACCTCAGAGACACAGAGTAGTGCTTAATATCTCCATTTTAACATTTTACAATATTTTATATTAGGAAATTATAGTGTTTGATTTAACATAACTGTTCGATTGGAAACTGTTTGTCATGCAGACCAAATAGTAATTTCCTTTGGCATACAGTGAAGGTGACCCTCTCTCTTCCTCCCTTCTCTCTCCCCCCCCCCACCACCAATCCATCCTTCCTTCGTTCCCTCAGGGGAGAAGCCCTTCAACTGTCCCAGCGACGGCTGTGAGAAAGCATTCAGCAGCCAGTACAGTTTGAAGAGTCACGTCAGGGGCCATGGGGACAAGGGCCAGCCCTTCAGTGTCCCCCTCACCCACCCCCTGTCCGAGGTAGGACATACATAAATCAAAGCATCTATTTCAGACAGGTCATGTGTGACTCATTTTTGGTAAGAGCATGGCGCTAGCAACCCATAGCTGTGGGTTCGATTCCCGCTGGGGCCACCAATTAGAAAAAGTATGCACTCACTGTTGGATAAAAGTGTCTGAACAGAGTGTATTATTAACATGGATTTGCCTGTGAAGTCATTTTAAGAAGGTCAGGGTTTTCCTTTCAGGGGTAAACTCATGTATTTGTACCTAGAACATTACGCCTGCTATCAGTATAGTCTGTTTTGATTGTTTTTATGATCTAACGTATTACATTCTATCCTTATGCATCTTTTTTTTTTACTTCAGATGGCTTTTGCTCTAGAAAGGAAAATGTAATTTGGGCCTATTCCTCTCTAATTACAGGATGCAAATCATTCACTGTGCCTCAGTGACTTGAGCCTCATCTCGACTGACTCGGAGCTCCGAGAAAACATCCACAATGTGAGTGTGTGCTTTATTTCATCAGCCCTTATTTGACTATATAGGTCCTTCTGCTTTTGTCCATGTATGAACAAGAACATGTATTTTGTGGTGGGGTACTATGACAGCAAAAACTACCACATGTATTTTGTTTCTGTATAAAGGATCAATAAAGAATAAAGATGCATTGTAAGACAGACATGTACTATCGTCTTAATGCTTTGTTACCTCTGTTACAGTCTCAGAACTTGGACTTGAGCAGTGTTACCCCCGTGAGGATCTTCGAGCTCATGTTCCAGAGTCCGGAAAACAGTGTTAGTCAAGACGATGCCCATCCTCACGGCAAGTACCCATCACAATCTATAAACTGTAACTCGGGTTGATTTCAGTGCCTTTTCATGCTAACTTTTGCTCTTCGTATTTTTTCAGAGAGCCTTGTTGAAGCCTTTGGCCAGGAAACTGGCCAGTCCACCATGGGCGATGGATCCACCCCCATCTCCTTCTCATTCTCCCTCGTCCCTTCCTCCTCATCCTCCTGTTCCCACTCCCACCCACACTCTCACCCTCACTCCCACACCACCACCACCACCACTGTCCTGGAGGCTTCCTCCCAGCTCCCTCTTAGCCAATCCCCCTCTTCCCAGACTCCAGCACCTCCTGCCCCCATTAGTAATGTTACCGCAGTCAGCTCCACCCAGCCCCCCGCCACCTTCGTACCCTTACCCACTGCCCTGCAGACAACAGACGTGCCTGCCCCGGCTCCAGCCCCCACCACCGCACCCATGCACTACGTGGCACTGCCCGCCCAGACTGCTCCAATAGTGCCCTCTGCTGCGCCAGTAGTGGTGCCAGGCCCAGCTCTCTCCAACGCGGCTCTGGGCGCTGTAGTCGCTGCCACAGAGACTGTGCCGCTGCCGGCCGTGGCTCACGCTCACACCGTGCCTTTGGCCAGCAACACCAACCCTGGCCTGGCGCCCCCAGCCTCTGCCCCCACCATCGCCCCAAGCCACAGCCACACCCAGAGCCTGCTGCAGCCCAGCATCGTCATGTCCGACCAGAACCTGCAGTGGATCCTTAACACCGCCGCCAACAGCCAACAGAACCCAGAGCAAGCGGTAAGAGTGCCGGTTTGACATGCCGGTTAACATTTAATTGATAGTTTGGTTGGCTGGTGATGAATTTGTGTGGACGTCAATGCTGTCAATCTTGTTTGTTTCCAGCCACACGGAGGTCCAAAAGTGGAAAAGGTCTTCTTTACCACAGCCATACCAGTGGGAGGAAATTCAGGTGAGATTTGTCCCCTGCTTTTACCAGTGTGATTATTGATAGCAATAATGCTGCACTGACCCACATGAAAAAATACTACAGTATACTATTATTGTAGTGCTTTTTTTTTGTGGACATGACTAGTATACTGTAGTATTTACATAGAGGAAACCTACTGGACAAATACTAAAATAGCAAATTTTCCATAACCTGTAGATAGGTAGGACTGGGGTCTGAACAGATAGTTCAGAGCTTCTGCTCTTTTCTAAAACCTGAAGGGAACACTATATGTAGGTTTCTCACTTATGGGTGGCACAAATTGGGATATGGGGAGGGGAACGGGCACATACAGTAGTTTTGCTATAGTTAAAGACTAGTGTTTTTGCAAACTACTGTTTACTATAGTGTTTTACCATACACTACAAAATTCTATAGTAAGTACTGTACATGGTCAAGGGATACTACAGTGTGTAGGGTATTATTCTACAGTATAGAATTCTATAATAAGTACTGTAGTATTCTATAGTAAACTGTAGATGTTTTTTCATGTGGGGTAGCCTACCAATGTTGAATGAATCAGGATATTTAAAAAGCACAAACTCGTCAGTCATGTAGAAAATTCATCCAATATGAATGCATTTACATGGCACAATTTCATTTGATGTCCCCTAGTGGCATTTGATTGTAATTTGAATTACAAAGGATTGGATGTCATTATTGGACAGCTGTCTTGGTCTGTCGTCATACTGTAGCTCTGGTTTGTGTTCTTTAGGGTATGTTGTGTTTCAAAGCGTTGCACAAAAGAAAATGAAAACAGGCTTTTCTTATTGGAGAGTTCACTCTGTTTTGGACCATTTTCTTCTGTTTCGTTGCCTAATGAAATACAACCCTTTGTTTGTAATGTGTTACAGGCAACTCTGTCCAGCAGATCGGCCTCAGCCTGCCCGTCATCATCATCAAACAGGAGGAGTCCTGCCAGTGCCAGTGTGCCTGCAGGGACTCTGCTAAAGACAAGAGCTCCAACAAGAGTAGCAACGCCTCGGCAGCACCGCAACAACAGCCCCCCGCTCCTCCACCTCCCCCCGCTCCCGTAGCACCTCCCCCCGCTCCCGTAGCACCGCCCTTTCCCCCCGTACTCCCCCCGGCGCCCTCTTCCCCCTTGTGCTGCCTCCCACCGCCCACCTCGGAAGTGAACGAGCCCCCTCCTCATCCCCAAACAGGAGCGGTACTAGGACCAGGTAGCCTCTCCCCCTCAGCCTCCGTACAGACATTCCCCCCAGGGGTGGCTACGGCCACCACCAACCCCCCTCCTATCACGGATGGTTTGGCCACCATGGACGTGTCGGACTTCCTGTCCCTGCAGAGCCCCGAGAGCACAGCCAACATCGAGGCTCTGCTACTGGTGGCCAGCAGTGACGACTTCACTATGGCTGGCGCTAGCAGCACCACCAACCCATAGTGGACACTCAGGCTTCGTCCCTGTTCTCCACCCTTCTCTTGAAGTGTGCACTTGCACACTCCCAGTCATGGATTTAAAAGCATTGAGTTGGTGTAAGCGTTGGGCAGAGGGAGTTTCTACCATTGTTCAATTCATTAAAGGGAGTGTGCAAATGCACACTTTGGGAGAAGGATGTAGAATCAGGACGCAGCCGCACTTGCCTATTTACCCACTACGTGTCCGCCTTTCAAGTATTTTAAGTGAAACTTCATGAGGGGGCTTATTTTGGCAAAGCAGAAAAATGCATGCCAGTCTATAAAAGTGTTCTTAATTGGCTGGCTCTCCATCAAACAAGACAATGTCCTAAGCACTGATCATTTGAAAGGCCCTAGGAACTATTGTGTGCTTCTAATATGGCGTGAAGCTGATTCCTGAGAGCAGCAAAACAAAACATTGTTGTCTATATCCATGTACTGTACAATAGTTCCTAACTGTAACTAATACGATTAGTTGGTAAGTGATTGACCAGAATGCACTGCATGTGAAGTGAATTGGAATTTCATCAACTATATTTCCTACAAGGAATTAGCGTGGCAGTTTTGCCATTCCCTTAAAAGCAATGTCCTGCTAATGCCATAATGTGAAGAGTAATTTCCAGTGTTTTACCTAAGTTAGCTAGTGTAGTCCAGATTATTTTTGGTCTTTCGTCTGGCTTTGTTTTGTTAGTTTTTGTCAATTTCTTTACAGATATATTTACTAATTTACAAAAAAAAAAAAAAAAACCTGTGACACAATTTGCTTGTATTTTTAATATAATTTAGAAGTCAATACATTAGTAATAAATTGCCCATAACTTAATATTAATATTTAATTTGTAAAGAAATATATATATTTATTGGAGAAAAAATGCTAAATCTCTGCCATTAGACTGTCATCAAGTCGCAGCTTAATCATCATCATTGTAATCATTGCAATTATTAATTTATTCCACTTTTCATCCAAGGTTTCTTTTTTAGTCCCCCTCCTGTTGTTACTGATTTTTGTTTTATGGAGCCCCTCTCAATCCAAGTTTCAGAAAGCTGTTTCAACCCTGCACCGTATTGCAATTAATTGTACATGGAGGTTGTCAAAAAAGGTCCCGAATGGGCTTTTTGGTCTGCAAAACCTCTTCACAATGAAATAATGAATCAATTATGAAAATAATTGCTCAACAGTGTTTCCTCTATTAATTACGACCCACTCAGGGATGCATCATGGCATATCTAATTTATACAGCTTGAGATGTCCCTTTATTTGATAAGAGATTGTCCATTTAGACATTTTAGCAGTCAACTGCCCAGATGCACATCGATTGTAGGAGCCCCCTTTTTCGGCTGCACTCTCCCCTCTTTGTGCACTGTCTAATATGACTAGTTATCTGCGTTATTACTATGACACTATTTGAATACCACTGCTGTCAGAAGGGGTTTCCGAAGGGTGTTGATGATGGTGTAAATACAGAACATTTAAATATATGAACACTTATTCCTTCAGATTGTTTTAGAATGTATTTGTTTTGTATATCATTTTGAATATGTAGACTTGAACCTTGGAGACTAAAGACAATAGCCCCTGCTCTGCCCTTTGTCTCTGCATTCTGCCCTCATGCAGATGCTCACACATCTTATGCAGAAGAGTTTCAAATGAAGCCTTATAATGGTTAGTTTTAGGGCCATTGGTGTCTGTGCGGTCAACATAGTATTTATTTTCAAATGCAAGCGTATGTAACTTTCTTAGAGTATATGATGATATTGTTTCACATGGGACATAATGCAATGCTTACAAAAAAAGACTAAATTGGAGAGAAGGCATTATGCCCTAATATCTTGTGTAGAGCAACCTTGCCTTACTCCAGGATATCTCACTTGCTGTGGCTTACTGAGCTGGCTCCTTGCCTTGTCAATCTTTGCCTATGGCTTGATTGGACATGCTGCTTGACTACTTCCTCCTGTTCATCTAGTCTTGTTCCAATGCCTTTTAGCAGCTGTCTACAAGTGGACAAAATTACATTGAAAAGAAATACATAATTTTTTGTTTGAAGGTTTAACAGAATTGTGCCAACAAATCACCTGTATAATGATCTCCAATTTATTTGTACTTTTTTTTCCGTGAATGTGAAGATGTGCTACTGCAGAAAAATACTGTAGACTGAAATTGTTTCTCTTTTTTGGTTTTGTGGTACTATATTGTAGACAACTTAATACTGCATTTTACAGATCACTACATCAATGTTGTAGTCACCAATTGTAATTACATAATTTTAATTGCTACTTCACAGGCATTGATTGACAGCAGCTATCATGTTTTATTATTTAGCCATTGAGCATGGAAAGAGGGACTGAGATCCAACCTAGGTGTCATGTATCATAGGATAACACAGTATGCAGGACATCTTTGTCTGGCAAACCTGAATAGGAGAAATGTGTAAACACTAACATGGGCTTTGCCCTTTTCCTGTTTTGAGAATTAACCGATACCAGAACTTGATGATAACCTGTAATATTAATTTATGTAGTTAGCACTTAAAATTGGTTCCACTAGAAATGTGAATGATCAAATGTTAAATCGTTTGTTTCCTATTGATATTCATACTGAACAAAAATATAAACGTAGAAATGTCAAAGATTTTACTGAGTTACAGTTCATATAAGGAAATCAGTCAATTGAAATTAATTAGGCCCTAATCTATGGATTTCACATGACTGGGCAGGGGCGCAGCCAATCAGAATGAGTTTTTCCCCAACAGAAGTGCTTTATTACAGACAGAAATACTCCTCAGTTTCATCAGCTGTCCGTGTGGCTGGTCTCTGACGATCCCGCAGGTAAAGAAGCCGGATGTGGAGGTCCTGGGCTGGCGTGGTTACACGTGGTCTGCGGTTGGACTTACTGCCAAATTCTCTAAAACAACGGAGGTGGCTTATGGTAGAGAAATTAACATTCAATGCTCTGGCAACAGCTCTGGTGGACATTTCTGCAGTCAGCATGCCAATTGCACGCTCCCTCAAAACTTGAGACATCTATGGCATTGTGTTGTGTGACAACTGTAGATCTTAGTGGCCTTTTATTGTCCCCAGCACAAGGTGCACCTGTGTAATGATCATTCTGTTTAATCAGCTTCTTGATATGCCACACCTGTCAGGTGTATGGATTATCTTGGCAAAGGAGAAATGCTCACTAACAGGGATGTAAACAAATTTGTGCACAAAATTTGAGAGAAGCTTTGAGTGTATGGACAATTTCTGGGATCTTTTATTTTATTTATTTTCATGAAACATGGGACCAAAACATTACATGTTGCGTTTATATTTTTGTTCAGTATAGGTATTCCCCCTCACAATTCTGGTCAATAACTTGATGTATTGTAAGTATGAACCCTGACCCCCACCCTCTTACTGCCCTCAACATGTTCACCTCCAATTCCATGCGTACCTTTTTAAAGAAAATATCTATGCTATGATTTGACTGCAGTATTCCTTCAAGTACAAAATGCAACAAAAATCATGACCAACCTTACACGTCAATGTCTTGGTCCAAGTAATTCTGTTAAATCAATATTCAGGTTTGCTAATGTCAAATTTGAAGGCTCAACTTTTTCATTTGCGAAGCTCCATGTATGTAACCATTTTTGCTCACAAAAGTCTTTCAGTATTCAACTTAGCGGTATGACCAACTGGGCATTCTATTTTGATCACCATAATCATCCATTTTATGTGAAGGTCCAATATATTACATGTGATTGATCATGTTTGAGGTGGGTCTGAACCTGGGCATTGAAATGTTTTTTTTTTTTCCATTGCTTTCCAGTGAATATTGAATCATGAGTCTTATTTTTACATTTACCTGTTGTCTCCAATGAGAGTTACCTGGTTAAAAACGAACTGGATTTGCTTGGGGTAAAAATTACTTGTAAAATCAATATGATTCTGTTGTAAGAATTATTTGGGTCAAATGTTGTACGCTGCATCTTTTTAAAAGTTTTGGGTGAAAAACAATGTATTTTCTTGTTCTCATACTGTATGTGCTATTTTTACTCAAGTCATCTCAATTAACTATGTTTATCTGTAAGGGTGATACAAATTTGGACCTGATTTGTTAACCCAATTTAACTATTTAGACCAACTGTTAGAATTGAAAGTGCTGGTTCTACCTTTGCCAGAAGATACCGACCTTACTGTTACGCTTGTTTACACTGAGCTGCACTAGGGTCAAAACTCAATCATGGTTACATTAATACACTGGAGCCGGCACGAGATATGGGTGGGAAAACGCACCTCAATGCAGGGATGGGATATGCCACTGTACTCCAAAAAACTGCCCTTTTAGCTAGCAGTAGCGACAGCAGCCATTATGGAATGGCACAGGTATCCACTAGTTACCACAGCCACAAAGTCTAAATTGGCTATATTGTAAAACGTCACGAAAACAAGAGGTTTTATCATTTTAATTTAAGGATAGGGTTAGGCATAAGATTAGCAGTGTGGTTAAGGTTAGGTTTGAAATCACATTTGAGTCGAAATTGAAGAAATAGTCGGGGTTTATGACTGAATTCATGAAAAATTAGCTTTTATCTTAATTTAAGGTTAGGCATAAGGTTAGCAGTGTGGTTAGGTTTAAAATCACATTTTGATTAGAGAAATGGGCAGGGTCTATGACTGTGGCAACCAGTGATGACCAAGGCACATCGTGTTGAACAAAGAAGCTGATTGGCTGACACTGCCATTCCAAAATGGCTGCGGTGAATACGGCTAGCTAGCATGAGCACAAAAATTATAGTTTTCTGGGAAAACTAGCACTACTTCAATCTTCTCGATGTTCTGTGTAAAGGTAAAATTGAATACAGTGGAATATCGAGGTACGTTTTCCAACCCATATCACGCGCTGGCTCCACGGTGTCCAGGGCGGCAGGTAGCCTAGTGGTTAAGAGCATTGGGCCAGTAACCGAAAAGTTGCTGGATCGAATCCCCAAGCCAACCAGGTGAAAAATCTGTTGATGTGCCCTGTTGATGTGCTCTTGTAAGTCGCTCTGGATAAGTGTCCGCTAAATGCCTCAAATGTAAATGTAACCATGATTGCGTTCTGACCCCAGTACAGCTGTGTAAACAAGGGTTGAGTCTTCTGGCAAGTTCAGCCTTTATGGGATTCATTTATTTACTGCTTACCTTTAGGTTGAATTGTCAGGCGAATAACGGCACAAATAATGGGGATTTTGTCCTTTTTCTAGCCAATGGTCAGATGCTTGGAATGGTGAGTGCATAGGTGCAAAACACTGGCAGTTTGGAAGTTTTGGAAAGTGCCACTTTGAAAACAGCACAGTTTGTATTTTGGAATTCTGTTCATAGTTAGGAACACGTGATAATTTGAACATTCTCAATGGGTAAAATGAGGGGGAAAACATAGTAATTCTAAAGGAATGTCAACACCCAAAGAGTGAGAAGTTGTAAAGTAGTTATATTTTTTAAAAGAATGTATGTGAAATTGGTTTGCTTATGCTTGTTTTGTATAGAGTAATATTGTATTATGATAAAGTAATACCTTTTTGAATTGAGAGCAACATAATACTAATAAAATCTTATCTGACTTGTCATTGGGTTTCTCCCATTTTTGCCCAAGCGAAAAAGTTAATGATCCTTGATAGTTTATTTATTGACATACAAAATGTTCCAAATTTCCACCAGGAGTAAAATGTCATATCAGTCACTTCGGAGCAGGGAATGATCCATCACTAAGTTTCTTCTCCTGTGGGGTTGAGAGAATATACTTTGGTCGTTGACATTATTCAAAGCTTGAAGCATGGAGAAACATACCCTTAAAATACCCCGCAGGTCCACCAAGTCCTTCAGAACAGTGTTGCATAGATCCATCTGTTCCTTCAGGGAGACCAACTGGTCTTGGAGGTCTTCAAGTAGCTGTGCTGACCAAAACCAGGATGAGTTAACTTTTCATTGTATTACCAAAAAAAAAAACAGTCACACTCCTAACCAGAAACCAATAGAAGTTAAAACCTTCATTCAGTTAATCGCATACATTTAGTTGACCATAAATAAGGGTTATGAATTCTATTTGTATTAAGTGTCTGAATACCGTCAGTTTACTACCGCCAATTAGAGGTACTGTTTGAAGAATACATTAAAGTCCCATTGCTGACCTGTGTGTTTGAAGAGTCTGTCTCATCATTTTGGGGAGCTGGAGCCTTCACCATATTATCTACAACGGAAATGGCATTACAAGTAAAGAACCACAAATTAACAGATATATGGGCATTTGTGTAGTATAATGTTACCTGGAACCGACGCCATTTTTTCTTTCTGGAAAATCACCTGGCGTGTAAGTTTGTGGGTTACACGTGAAATAGTTTTACTAATTAGTAATTGATTGGAGGCATGCTAGAAGTTGAATAACTGAATGTATCCTTTTTCATTTGATGTAATGGGCATGCACTATTTTGTTATAAATTTGGATGAATTTCAGCCACTTCTTATCCAAAGTAGAAAGCACATTTTAACCTTGTTTATACTAATTTAACTGGAATGTTTAGCAAAGCTATGTGCTTTCCCTTTAAGGAAATGCGTGTCATCGTTTTGAGGGCGTTACCCGGAAGACTGTCAATGTTATTTCATCAGCCGACACAGCATGTTTCATCAACAGTGAGACACAATTTCTATGAATACCTTTTTTAAGTTTATTTCTTACTTCATGATATTAAGACGCGTTTATAATTCAGCCTTAGCGACCCGAGACGGAAGAGCTATGTGCAAAGAACTGAATACTAAAATGCTGCTCTTGTCACCGCAGTCGCAGATGGTAATGAATGGACCATCTGCCCGGTGTGAGGAAAGACTGCAAGGTAGGTTCAATATGTCACCATTCAAACTCAAACAGCAAGGTTCTACAATTAACATAAATATGAGAAGCTAACAGTTGCTAGCTAGATATCTCATTCTCAAGGTTTCAAGTGCACGTGTTATGTATTCTGCAATAACATTTCTCAAACTAACTAATTGTTAGGCTTTTTGTCAAATGCTTTGCATTAACATTCTGTTGTTGAAGGTCTACTCATGATGACATGAGATCATACATCAATCAATGTAAGCTATTTGCATAAGAGCATTCATTCCTAATGGTTTGCTTTTGAACTGTAGATTGTGCTGAAATCCTGAATTCAACAGTGAAGGCTCTAAAGGATGGACAAGTTGTGGCTGTGCCAACGGACACAATATATGGGCTGGCTTGCTTGGCTCAGAATTCCAATGCCATCAAAACGGTGTATGACATCAAAGGACGTGATGGTCAGAAACCCCTGGCCATTTGTGTGGGAGAAATCCAAGACATTTACAAGTAGGTGTACATTGATGGTGTTCATAGCGTTGTTCTTGTGGCTCAAAATGTCTCAATGTCTTGCATACATGCCTGACTCACACTATAGGGCCAAGCTGGACTGGCCTGGCCTTGTTACGCATCCATCGTAGTTGCTAAAATCTACCTTGCTGGAAAGGACAAAGTGAAAATGAAAATATCGGTTCCAGCACAGTATGGTTTGCTTCGGCCCTATAATGTGAATCAGCCTAAATTTTATCTTTTATTTTACCCTTGTGGTGGCAGGTACTGTAAGGTGTCAGTCAAGGAAGAGCTGCTTGGGGACCTGTTGCCTGGCCCTGTCACTCTGGTTCTGGAACGAGCTGAAGTACTCAACACTGACCTCAATCCCTTCACTCCTGTAAGACTTACATAGACACGGACCATTACACAGACACGGACAATTCGCTGTCCCTAAAAGATGACAAATTATACTATAATTCATAAACCACTCAATTTGAACATGTGTGTTGCTTTTCTGCATGCTAGCTTTTGGTCTGGCACTTAGTAAGTTATTTATTGCTTGTATTGAGCTGTTGTTGATGTGTTTACCTGTTCCTTCCAGTTAGTAGGTGTGCGCATCCCGGACCATGCCTTCATGAGACGCCTCTGCCAGATGTGTGGGGAACCTCTTGCCCTCACCAGCGCCAACATCAGCTCACACTCCAGCACTGTGGCTGTACATGTATGTAGAGACAACCCACCGTGTGTGTGAACTGTTTTTATTCCATGAACTGGAGGGGAGGTGGTACTGCATCATGTACAACCAACCAAGGTTTATCAGTGCATAATTTTTTTTCACTGATGCTGAAAATGATTTTGGAAAAATAATAGTTATACAGGGATTTTCTCTACAGGAGTTCCAGGATCTGTGGCCTCTGTTAGCAGTGGTGGTGGATGGCGGACCAATAGGAGACAAGAGTCGGTTGGGGTCAACAGTGGTCGACCTATCGGTGCTCGGCAAATACCGAATCATCAGACCTGGCTGGTGAGTAGTGATACTGGCATGCTCAGCAGAGTACAGGCCACTGACTGTAACACATTTCAATCAAGCTAGTTATGTTCAGGTAATTCCGTTTAGTTAATTCATCCAAGTTAAAAGTACATGAGCACATTTTGTGAGTAGTAGTTTAAACATACATGATAGTGAAAATGACCTGTGGAAGTGATAACCCCCCTGTGCTTTTTTGTTATTTCTTTCAGTGCCTTCTCTTCCACAGTTGATGTGCTGGAGCGCAAATACGGACTGTCAGACACAGGGGATCATCAGTGAGGTTTGCCCCCTCCAAATTCATACCACATGCTGAAACCCACAACCAGCAAGAACCTGTGCTTACCGTTGGCCAAATACAACTCTGAATGATGGCAATGCCTGCAACGCTGAGGCGAGTGATGAAAGCACTCATCTTTCTAAAGGAAGGACGGTCCTTTTGCACATTGCAGGCTGTTGTGGAAAGCTCTGGGTTTCATGTCAAACGTAAGGGATTTGTTTAGCCTTTCTGTGTTATTAGTTGTTCAAGCGTTCTTGTTTCTATGGGAAAACCCTGGGCACTTAAAACTCAGTCTTTGCTTTTACAAATTAACTTTTTTGTGTGGAGACTAGGTTGTTTTAGTCAAGCATGCTTACACCCAACAGAAGACCCCACTCTTGCCTCCTCTCTAGTGGGTCAAAATGGCAGAGGCTTGGCACAGAGTAAAGGTTGGAGTTCTACCCTGTTACTGTCATTTTGAGTTATGGCTAGGTTAAGCAAAGCTACTATTTAATTGATTTATTTCAAATGTCCTTTTCATGCAGTACAAAATCAAGTCCTGTGGGTTTTATGAACTGGTCTTGAGTGTTTCAGGGATGTGAACATTGTGTAAATACATGTTATTTTCATGGAGAATTTATTTAACATTGTTTGGAACCAATTTCAGACTGTAAGGATGCGTCTACACAGGCAGCCCAATTCTGATATTGTTTTCACTAATTGGTATTTTGACCAATCAGAGCAGCTCTGAAAGATATCTGATGTGATTGGTCAGACCAATTGGTGGGGAAAAATATCAGAATTGGCTGCCTGTGTAAACGCAGCCTATGAGTCCGTGATCTAGTGTATTATTGCTCGACGGTTGTGAGTACCTCATTACTGAACATCAGGCGTACTGGTTTGTATAATGGACCAATGAGAGTATGTTGTTGAGAATAAATGGCATGCATTATGCAGATCATGATGGCTTGTGTTGGTTTTCTCTCCTCGCCCGTAGTACTGGGTGAATATCAGTGTGGTGGATGAGCTACTGCAGAAGCTCCCGTCAACAGAACACTCTCAATGACTTTTTGTGGTAAGTGTCTTCTCACATAATGGAAATGTAGATGGTCAGTATTCACCAAAGCCTATATATACATTAAGGAGGTAGCCTAGTGGTTAAGAGCGTTGGGCCAGTAACCGAGAGGTCGCTATTTCGAATACCCGAGCCGGCAAGGTGGAGAAATCTGCTGTTCTGCCATTGAGCAAGGCAGTCAACCCCCAACATCAACTGCTCCCCGGGCGCCAATGACGTGGATGTGAATTAAGGAAGCCCCCCGGTACACCTCTGATTCAGAGGGGTTGGGTTTAATGCGGAAGACTCATTTTGGTTGAATGCATTTAGTTGTGCAACTGAGTAGGTATCCCCGTTTCCCTTCCCTAATAGTTTCTGCTAGTTTGTTAGAGAATGAATAACAGTGACAGAGTGGACTTCCAAGCTGGATCAGGTGACTGAGTTAACGTGCAATGGCTCACACAACACTGCAGCTGTAAGTAGTTTTTTTTTTTTTTCTCACAGAAAGGATGGTCTTTCTTTAAAGATAAGTCAGAGGGCACATCCTTTTATTCCTAAAATATGTCATTCATTTTTTTTATGGACAGCAAGCCTAGGTACAAATAGGTCATACACACTGCATATATCATTCATATTCCAGTACCCAGCCTGACCTGACTATACATGTACATTGCCTGCACACGAGACTGTTCATTTCTATAAAAAAAAAATCTAATTATTTTAATGTCCCTACTGTAACTAGTTTTGAACATACTTGCATTTATTAAAATTTTGCTAGACTTAAAATATGAAATTGTTGAATGTTGTTTCTCTGTTGGTGGTGCTTGTTTTCTGTCTTCAGATAAAAGGAAATTGCTGTGGACATGGCGTTTCCCCTTGGCTGAATTGATCTGGTTGCAATCACATGCTCCGATACGCCAGCATCTGTGGAGCTGCTCAGACTCTCCCTAGTGCACTGACATTAAACCATTTGGTGGTCAACCATGCAGTTTTCCCTTCCACTTTGCTTTGGCTCCAGGGTGAAGTTTCCCTAGGTACAGATCTAGGATCAGCTTCCCCTCACCCAATCCAAACATTAACCATTAGTGGGGGAAATGTAAAATTGACCCAGATCAGCATCTAGGCGCAACTTCACCTTACATCTTTGGGCTCCACATCCTTGTTAAGCCACACAGGAAATACCCATTTACTTGACAATGAGCACACTTGCTTTGAGTGAAGAGAAAAGACTAGACTTAATGAAGAGAAAATATAATGGTACAAGCCCTCTCTCTCCTGTCCTTTATTCTCTCATACTTTCCAAGAAAGAGATGTCTTGTGGATGAAAGTGAAATCCTAGAAATGTCACCCAGTCTATTTTATTGGTATTATCATTTTAAAACTTAAAAGGATTGTGCAGAAAGAAAGAAACATCATGCCAGGGTCCATTGTATCAAACACATGGTTACATTGGGCAGTGGTTTGTCAAAGTAGGATAGAGTGTACTGTATACAGTATATTGGACTATTGATGTGTCTGTCCATCCATGCTTGTAGCAGGGATGGGGGTTGTCTGGAGGTTATCAGGAGGAAAAATCCAGGGCAGAGATATGGCAAGCAGGACGGGGAGCTATCTGTTGCACATAAAAGTGTCAACTGTAGAATATTCCAAATGTTCCACATAATGCCATTTCACTCAACAACAAAACAGTTCAATCAAGAGGATTTCTCCCTGTTCTCCTTTTCTTTCTGGCACACACAAATACATACTTGTTCTCCAGTCCAATCCCCACACACTTGTCTCTCACACATTCATAAACCTCTGCAGTCACTCATGCTTTTTCCTCTCTCCTTCACACACACAGCGCCAGTTCACATGAGCCATGTCTCCTTCTCCTTGTTGAACTGCTCTGCCCACCTCCTGGTGAGCTCCAGGTAGTGTTCAGGCTGGTGCGGCTGGTAATCCAAATACAACCTGGTCACCGTCTTTTTTGGCACAGCCCTCTCGATCTGCGTACCCTCGTGCCACTCGTTGAACGACGTTATCGTGACGATCTCGGGCCGCACGTTCAGTGCCGCCTGCAAGCCTGTCTCGTAGTAGCGGCCGTTGACGCGGTTGCGCGTGTTGTGGTTGTTCCACGGTCTGACCGCGGTGTCGATGTAGCCCGGCCCGGCGCTAGGTATAAATAACAGGTTGTTACCGTCGCAGAACGACTTGACTGCCTTCCAGTTTTGATGTGACGAACCAAACGAAAACCCGTTGGAGGCGAAGTACGTATACATCCCATCGAAACCGCCGGCAAGGATGTCGTGCTTGTGGCGCTCCTCCACGATGAGGGCGATGAAGACGCTGTCGTACGGCGTGCCGCGCAGGCTGTGGGAGCCCGTGGGGTGGAGCAGGTCGGACCAGTTCTCGGGCGGCGTCAGATATGAGTCGTAAATGTAGAACAGAGGCAGGATATTCCCCGTGCTAGAGGTGAACTTGTAGAAGGCTCCGTGGTCCCCGTACCTTCAAACACAAATAAATGGACTGGAGATTATTGGCACAGATTTTGATATTTGCATGGAAGGAGAAATAACCTAGAAGTAACCTAATAAGATATGAAGCACATTCTAGAGTTATTTAAATTTAATCTAGCCTTCAGGAGACAGCAGAGGGAGCACGCCCCCATCCACATTGACGGGGCCGCAGTGGAGAAGGTGAAAAGCTTCAAGTTCCTCAACAGCACCTCTTCAACCTCAGGAGGCTGAAGAAATTTGGCTTGGCCCCTAAGACCCTCACAAACTTTTACAGATGCACCATTGAGAGAATCCTGTCAGGCTGTATCACCGCCAGGTACGGCAACTGCACCGTCCACAACCGCAGGGCTCTCCAGAGGGTGTTGCGGTCAGCCCAACGCATCACTGGGAGCACACTTCCTGCCCTTCAGGACATCTACAGCACCCAGTGTCACAGGAAATTCAAGAAGATCATCAAGGACCTCAGCAACCCGAGCCATGGCCTGTTCACCCCGCTAGCATCCAGAAGGCGAGGTCAGTACAGGTGCATCAAAGCTGGGACCGAGAGACTGAAAAACAGCTTCTATCTCAAGGCCATCAGACTGTTAAATAGCCATCACTAGCCGGACTCCACCCAGTACCCTGCCCTGAACTTAGTCACTGTCACTAGCCGGCTACCACCCGATTACTCATCCCTGCACCTTAGAGGCTGCTGCCCTATGTACATAGACATGGATCACTGGTCACTTTAATAATGTTTACATACTGTTTTACCCATTTCATATGTATATCCTGTATTCTAGTCAAGTCCATCCTACTCAACTATTGCTATTCTATCCTAAGTATTCTTCAGATATACTACATATTCTATCCACATACTGTCCATAATGTCTATGCATCCCATCACATATACAGTGGGGGAAAAAAAGTATTTAGTCAGCCACCAATTGTGCAAGTTCTCCCACTTAAAAAGATGAGAGGCCTGTAATTTTCATCATAGGTACACGTCAACTATGACAGACAAATTGAGGGGAAAAAAATCCAGAAAATCACATTGTAGGATTTTTAATGAATTTATTTGCAAATTATGGTGGAAAATAAGTATTTGGTCACCTACAAACAAGCAAGATTTCTGGCTCTCACAGACCTGTAACTTCTTCTTTAAGAGGCTCCTCTGTCCTCCATTCGTTACCTGTATTAATGGCACGTGTTTGAACTTGTTATCAGTATAAAAGACACCTGTCCACAACCTCAAACAGTCACACTCCAAACTCCACTATGGCCAAGGCCAAAGAGCTGTCAAAGGACACCAGAAACAAAATTGTAGACCTGCACCAGGCTGGGAAGACTGAATCTGCAATAGGTAAGCAGCTTGGTTTGAAGAAATCAACTGTGGGAGCAATTATTAGGAAATGGAAGACATACAAGACCACTGATAATCTCCCTCGATCTGGGGCTCCACGCAAGATCTCACCCCGTGGGGTCAAAATGATCACAAGAAAGGTGAGCAAAATACACGGGGGGACCTAGTGAATGACCTGCAGATAGCTGGGACCAAAGTAACAAAGCCTACCATCAGTAACACACTACGCCGCCAGGGACTGAAATCCTGCAGTGCCAGTCGTGTCCCCCTGCTTAAGCCAGTACATGTCCAGGCCCGTCTGAAGTTTGCTAGAGTGCATTTGGATGATCCAGAAGAGGATTGGGAGAATGTCATATGGTCAGATGAAACCAAAATAGAACTTTTTGGTAAAAACTCAACTCGTCGTGTTTGGAGGACAAAGAATGCTGAGTTGCATCCAAAGAACACCATACCTACTGTGAAGCATGGGGGTGGAAACATCATGCTTTGGGGCTGTTTTTCTGCAAAGGGACCAGGACGACTGATCCGTGTAAAGGAAAGAATGAATGGGGCCATGTATCGTGAGATTTTGAGTGAAAACCTCCTTCCATCAGCAAGGACATTGAAGATGAAACGTGGCTGGGTCTTTCAGAATGACAATGATCCCAAACAACGAAGGAGTGGCTTCGTAAGAAGCATTTCAAGGTCCTGGAGTGGCCTAGCCAGTCTCCAGATCTCAACCCCATAGAAAATCTTTGGAGGGAGTAGAAAGTCTGTGTTGCCCAGCGACAGCCCCAAAACATCACTGCTCTAGAGGAGATCTGCATGGAGGAATGGGCCAAAATTTTACATTTACGTCATTTAGCAGACGCTCTTATCCAGAGCGACTTACAAATAGGTGCATTCACCTTATAGCCAGTGGGATCACCACTTTACAATGTTTTTTTAAAAAGTATTTGGTCAATAACAAAATACCAGCAACAGTGTGTGAAAACCTTGTGAAGACTTACAGAAAACGTTTGACCTGTGTCATTGCCAACAAAGGGTATATAACAAAGTATTGAGAAACTTTTGTTATTGACCAAATACTTATTTTCCACCATCATTTGCAAATAAATTCATTAAAAATCCTACAATGTGATTTTCTGGATTTTCTTTTCTCATTTTGTCTGTCATAGTTGACGTGTACCTATGATGAAAATTACAGGCCTCTCTCATCTTTTTAAGTGGGAGAACTTGCACAATTGGTGGCTGACTAAATACTTTTTTTCCTCACTGTATATATACTGTGTGTGTGTCTTAATTCCATTCTTTTTACTTTTAGATTTGTGTGTATTGTTACATATTACTGCACTGTTGGCGCTAGGAACACAAGCATTTCGCTACACCCGCAATAACATCTGCAAAACGTGTATACGAACAATAAAATGTGATTTGATTTTAAGTGAACTGTGTGTCAGTCCTTTAAAAGGGTCTATGTTGACTGAACTATTCTTTCAACAGGAAAGTTCAAGGTTGAAGGTATTCTAAACAAAGACAACACCTACCTGTCGATGATATACTTGATGTTGTCATGGACACTGTGGTCGCTCCGGCCTCTGTAAGGCTGGAGGTGAAATGCAACCTGGAAAGAAAATGAAAAACATCTTAGTCCACGGCTTTCCATTCATTACGTTGTTGTCACATATTTGTTAGTGCGTCTATGCAGCCAACCCAACCATCTAAGGTGACGTCAGTTAGTATAGACTCAAACTCTAGAGAGTATTCACATTTGGAAAGGTAACAGGAGCTGGGCTGTGTTCAGCTGCCCCTTGGGTCTAATTGAGAGCTATTCAAAGCCTAAGGACACAGCAGGAGCAAGACAGACATTATTATGCAGCCATTATAATAAGCAGTTGTTACAGCAACAAGAAAATAGCTTCAAGTGTCGTGTCCAAATACTGGTAGAGTCAACTAAGAAAAGAATGGACGACCTGACCAGAGAGGTCCAGGACCTGAAGAACAGTTTGCAGTTCTCCCAGGGTCTGCTCAATGAGTTAAAACAGGAAAACGGCAAGATGCCAACAATCTGTAAGTCATTGAGAGAGGACATTAGTTCTGTATGTGAATCCATGATAACAATGACAGAGAAATCTGATTATCTCAATCAAGGCAGAACAACATTGTTGTAGATGGAATTGCAGAATCTCCACATGACCTGGACGGAGTCTGAGGACAAAGTGAGGGAAATGATCTCGGAGAAACTGAAGATGGACCACAGGAAGATTGAGTTGGAGCACGCCCACAGGACTGGAAAACCCATTACCAGCCCAGGTGACAGGCCCAAGGTAGCAGTTCTGGAAAGGGCCAAGAACTTGAGGGGAACGTACATTACTGCACTGTTGGCGCTAGGAACACAAGCATTTTTCGCTACACCCGCAATAACATCTGCTAAACGTGTATTCAAACAATAAAATGTGATTTGATTTTAAGTGAACTGTGTCTTCCTCAACGAGGATTATGCTGAAACTGTGCCCCAGAAGAGAAAATAACTTATCCAGGCCATGAAAGCTGCCAGAGTGTGTGGGGACATTGCTTACAACCGATATGACAGGCTCATTGTCCACCCTCCCTACCAAAAGCCTGGAAGGGATGAGAGAGCCAAGCCTATGGGTTCGAAGATTCAACGCAAAGTACACACACACACTTACACACACCAACTGATTAATGGACTGCTAAATGTATCTTTTTTTTTCTTGCTTTGTTTGTTCTTTCCCATATTTTATCTATATCTGAGAAGCTATCCAGGAAATGGCTGAAAATAGCCCATATTAATATATGTAGCCTTAGAAATAAGGTTCATGAAATCAATAACTTGCTAACATCAGATAACGTTCATATATCAGCCATTTCTGTTATATAGCAGTAGCAGCAATACAAGGATATAACATCTATAGAAGAGACAAGAATGCTTATGGGGGAGGTGTTGCTAATTTAATTCAGAGCCATATCCCAGTAATGCTTAGAGAAGATCTCATGTCAAGTGTTATTGAAGTACTGTGGCTGCAGGTTCACCTGCCTCATCTAAAGCCTATCCTTTTGGGGTGTTGCTATAGGCCACCAAGTGCTAACAGTCAGTATCTAAATACTGTGTGTGAAATGCTTGATCGTGTATGTGATGTAAACAGAGAGGTCTACTTTATTGGGGACCTGAATATTGACTGCTTCTCAAACCAGTGCCTGTAATCTGGTTCAGGTTATTAATCAACCTACAAGGGTGTTTTCAAACACTACAGGAACAAGATCATCCACATGTATTGATCAAATTTTTACTCATACTGTAGAACTCTGTTCTAAAGCTGTATCCGTACCCATTGGATGTAGTGATCACAATATAGTGGCTATATCTAGGAGAACCAAGGTTTCAAAAGCTGGGCCTAAAATAGTGTATAAGAGATCATATACAAGTTTTTGCTGTGACTCATGTGGATGTTTGTTGGTCTGATGTGATTAATAAGGTGCATCCAGATGCTGCACTTGATGAATGTATGAAATTGCTTCTTCCAATTATTGATAAACATGCACCTGTTAAGAAACTGACTGTTAGAACTGTTAACATTTACATTTTAGTCATTTAGCAGACGCTCTTATCCAGAGCAACTTACAGTTAGTGAATACATATATATTTTTTTTCATACTGGTCCCCCGTGGGAATTGAACCCACAACCCTGGCGTTGCAAACGCCATGCTCTATCAACTGAGCTACATCCCTGCCGGCCATTCCCTCCCCTACCCTGGACAACGCTAGGCCAATTGTGCGCTGCCCATGAGTCTCCCGGTCGCGGCCGGCTGCGACAGAGCCTGGATTCGAACCAGGATCTCTAGTGGCACAGCTAGCACTGCGATGCAGTGCCTTAGACCACTGCGCCACTCAGGAGACAGGAGTTAAGGCTTCATGGATTGATGAGGAATTTAAAAACTGTAAGGTTGAAGGAGAGGCTAATAAGTCTGACTGCACATCTGACTGGCTGACTTACTGCAAAGTGAGAAATTATGTGACTAAACTTAACAAAAAGAAAAAGGAACTGTAATATGAAGCCAAAATCAATTATATAAAGAATGATGGAAAAAATAAAAATAAATAGGTCATTTAGCAGACACTCTTATCCAGAGCGACTTACAGGAGCAATTAGGGTTAAGTGACTTGCTCAAGGGCACATTGACAGATTTTTCACCTAGTCGGCTCGGGGATTAGAACCAGCAACCTTTCGGTTACTGGCACAACGCTCTTAACCACTAAGCTACCTGCCGCCCAAACGTTGGCATACTTCAAATTAAATTATGGGCAGAAAGACAAATTCAAATCTTTCATTGAATCAGATGGCTTATTCATCACAAAACCGTTTGATGTTGCCAATTATTTTAATGATTACTTAATTGGCAAAGTGGGCAAAGCTAAGCAGGAAATGCCAACAACGAACAGTGAGCCATCGTATTCTTGCATAAAAAAACTAATAATGAATGAAAAGCATTGTATGTTAGAATTTTGTATAGTTAATGTGGGACAGGTGGAAATGTTACTGTTATTGATCATCGTATTCATGCATAAAAAAACTAATAATGAATGAAAAGCATTGTAAGTTAGAATTTTGTATAGTTAATGTGGAAAAGGTGGAAAAATTACTGTTATCGATCAATAATGACAAACCTCCTGGCATTGACAACTTAGATGGAAGGCTACTGAGGATGGTAGCTGACTCTATGGCCACTAATCTGAGTCTATATGAAGGTCTTTGTCCTCAGGCCTGGAGTGAAGCCAAAGTCATTCTGCTACTCAAGTGTGGTAAAAGTTCTAACAGCAGACCAATCAGCTTGCTGAAGGTTCTTAGCAAACTGTTGGAAAAAATTGTGTTTGACCAAATACAATGCTATTTCTCTGTAAACAAATTGACAACAGACTTTCAGCATGCTTATAGAGAAGGGCACTCAACATGTACTGCACTGACACTAATGACTGATGATTGGTTGAAAGAAATTGATAAGAAGAAGATTGTGGGAGCTGTACTGTTAGATTTCAGTGCAGCCTTTGATATTATTGACCATAACCTGTTGTTGAGAGAACTTATGTTTTATTGCTTTTCAACCTCTGCCATATTGTGGATTCAGAGCTATCTATCAAATAGAACTCAGAGGGTTTTCTTAAATGGAAGCTTCTCTAATGTCAAACATGTAAGGTGTGGTGTACCGCAGGGCAGTCCTCTAGGCCTCCTACTTTTTTCTATTTTTACCAATGACATGCCACTAGGGCTGTTACGGTGACCGTATTACCGCAACACCGGTGGTCACAAGTCATGATGGCAGTCAAATTCCGTTTGACCGTCATGGTTATTAGGCTTCTCCAAGCTCTGATGCTGCTGATGGTCATTAGTAGCCTACCAAACTTGCTAACTGACTGGTACTCAGCACTCTATTGTCCCTCTAATCACTCTGACATCAATGCAAATGTAATTGAAAATCTAATCAAACACCTCATGAGAGCCCATGAGCTCATGTTGCGCAACATTTCTATAGGCTATGCAATTGCGTGAGAAAACAGACTGATAGCCTCTATTTAAAGGAGGAGGATCCCATCAGCTTTCTATAGGCTAGGCCTACTATATTTATTTCTCAACTTTCCTATTATTAAGCACATTGCTTCTCTTTACAACAGGAGTATAGCTTACCTAGCTGGAATGAAAATGAATCACTGTAAAAGCGTCCTCCATTCACTATTTAAGTGCATAGATTATACAGTGGGGAGAACAAGTATTTGATACACTGCCGATTTTGCAGGTTTTCCTACTTACAAAGCATGTAGATGTCACGCCCTGGCTCTGGGGACTCTTAAATGTTGAGCCAGGGTGTGGACTTGTTATGTTTAGTTTTCTATGGGTTTTGTTCTAGATCGTTTATTTCTATGTTGGCCAGGGTGGTTCCCAATCAGAGACAGCTGTAGCTCGTTGTCTCTGATTGGGGACCATACTTAGGCAGCCTGTGTTCACTAGTTTATTGTGGGATCTTGTTCCGAAAGGTTTGTGTTGTAACCTAGGACTTCACGTATCGTTTGGTTTGTTGTTTTGTTCGTGTTGTGTACACTGAATAAAGTATGTACGCTTATCACGCTGCGCCTTGGTCCGCATCAGTCAACGATCGTGACAGAAGATCCCACCAAGAGAGGACCAAGCAGCGTGCCAAACAGGAGAAGTTGGCGATGTCCCAGGTGGGCGAATGGTGGTCTTGGGAGGACATATTCGCGGGCAGAGGGCCATGGGCAAAAATAAATGCCCAGGCAGGAGAGCAGAAACGGCGCCAACCGTGCCGACGACGGACACGCGAGAGGCAACCCCAAGTAATTTTTTTGGGGGGGGCACACGGCGTGGACGACGGGGCTGCTGGAGGCAGCTACAGGGCGCATCGGCGATCTAGGAGAGGAGGCCACCAGGTTTGGGGGGCTGGAGGGGTGGTTGGCGGAGCCTAGAGGTATAGAGCAGAGCCAACTCCCCGTACTCAGGCTAGGCAGCGTGAGACTGGGCAGGTTCCGGGTTATGCAGAGCCACGTACTGTGCCGCGAGTGTTCCGGCACAGTCCTGTACGTCCTGTGCTAGC